CCAGCCGGCCGTGACACGGTCGGATTGGGCTGCCCTTGCAGGGCAGAATAGAGTAAGATCCGCTCTAAATGGTTAGCTAGGGTAGAGGTTCAACGGAGCTCGTGGCCCAGCTCTGCAGAGGCGAACCTGTTCCAGGCAAGTCCGACCGTCTCGGACCCAAACCGCTCGCACGCGCAGCTCGATGGGGCAGAGGTCTCCCAGCCTACCGCTTGGCACAGGGACCATTCAATAGCATACCTTGATGGTAATGGAGTCAGATATGCAATATTGCATCAGTAGCATCATCAGCGGGACCATCCCCCCAAGGCTGCACCTTCTTTTTCCTTCCAGCCGGCCGTGACACGGTCGGATTGGGCTGCCCTTGCAGGGCAGAATAGAGTAAGATCCGCTCTAAATGGTTAGCTAGGGTAGAGGTTCAACGGAGCTCGTGGCCCAGCTCTGCAGAGGCGAACCTGTTCCAGGCAAGTCCGACCGTCTCGGACCCAAACCGCTTGCGCGCGCAGCTCAATGGGGCAGAGGTCTCCCGGCCTACCGCTTGGCACAGAGACCATTGAATAGCATACCTTGATCGTAATGGAGCCAGATTTGCGATATTGTATCAGTAGCATCATCAGCCAGACCAAGCCTCTTGGCCCCACTCGGACCCAAACCGCTCGCGCGCGCAGCTCAATGGGGCAGAGGTCTCCCGGCCTACCGCTTGGCACAGGGACCATTGAATAGCATACCTTGATGGTAATGGAGGCAGATTTGCGATATTGCATCAGTAGCATCATCAGCCAGACCAAGCCTCTTGGCCCCACTCGGACCCAAACCGCTTGCGCGCGCAGCTCGATGGGGCAGAGGTCTCCCGGCCTACCGCTTGGCACAGGGACCATTGAATAGCATACCTTGATGGTAATGGAGCCAGATTTGCGATATTGCATCAGTAGCATCATCAGCGGGACCAACCCCCCAAGGCTGCACCTTCTTTTTCCTTCCAGCCGGCCGTGACACGGTCGGATTGGGCTGCCCTTGCAGGGCAGAATAGAGTAAGATCCGCTCTAAATGGTTAGCTAGGGTAGAGGTTCAACGGAGCTCGTGGCCCAGCTCTGCAGAGGCGAACCTGTTCCAGGCAAGTCCGACCGTCTCGGACCCAAACCGCTCGCACGCGCAGCTCGATGGGGCAGAGGTCTCCCAGCCTACCGCTTGGCACAGGGACCATTCAATAGCATACCTTGATGGTAATGGAGTCAGATATGCAATATTGCATCAGTAGCATCATCAGCGGGACCATCCCCCCAAGGCTGCACCTTCTTTTTCCTTCCAGCCGGCCGTGACACGGTCGGATTGGGCTGCCCTTGCAGGGCAGAATAGAGTAAGATCCGCTCTAAATGGTTAGCTAGGGTAGAGGTTCAACGGAGCTCGTGGCCCAGCTCTGCAGAGGCGAACCTGTTCCAGGCAAGTCCGACCGTCTCGGACCCAAACCGCTTGCGCGCGCAGCTTCAATGGGGCAGAGGTCTCCCGGCCTACCGCTTGGCACAGAGACCATTGAATAGCATACCTTGATCGGTAATGGAGCCAGATTTGCGATATTGCATCAGTAGCATCATCAGCCAGACCAAGCCTCTTGGCCCCAATTGGACCCAAACCGTCTGCGCGCGCAGCTCGATGGGGCAGAGGTCTCCCGGCCTACCGCTTGGCACAGGGACCATTGAATAGCATACCTTGATGGTAATGGAGGCAGATTTGCGATATTGCATCAGTAGCATCATCAGCCAGACCAAGCCTCTTGGCCCCACTCGGACCCAAACCGCTTGCGCACGCAGCTCGATGGGGCAGAGGTCTCCCGGCCTACCGCTTGGCACAGGGACCATTGAATAGCATACCTTGATGGTAATGGAGGCAGATTTGCGATATTGCATCAGTAGCATCATCAGCCAGACCCAGCCTCCCGGCCCCACTCGGACCCAACCCGTCTGCGCGCACAGCTCCATGAGGAACAAGGCTACCAATCTACCGCTTGGCACAGGGACCATGTGATAGTATACCTTGACGGTACTGGAGCCAGATTTGGGCCAGTGCATCAGTAGCATCCTCAGCCAGACCCAGCCTCCCGGCCCCACTCGGACCCAACCCGTCTGCGCGCACAGCTCCATGAGGAACAAGGCTACCAATCTACCGCTTGGCACAGGCACCATATGATGGTATACCTTGATGTTAATGGAGCCAGATTTGGGCCAGTGCATCAGTAGCATCCTCAGCCAGACCCAGCCTCCCGGCCCCACTCGGACCCAACCCGTCTGCGCGCACAGCTCCATGAGGAACAAGGCTACCGACCTATTGCTTGGCACAGGGACCATATGATAGTATACCTTGACAGTAATGGAGCCAGGTTGGGGCCAGTGCATCAGTAGCATCCTCAGCCAGACCAGACCTCCCGGCCCCACTCGGACCCAACCCGTCTGGGCACACAGCTCCATGAGGAACAAGGCTACCAATCTACCGCTTGGCACAGGGACCATGTGATAGTATACCTTGATGGTAATGGAGCCAGATTTGGGCCAGTGCATCAGTAGCATCCTCAGCCAGACCAAGCCTCCCGGCCCCACTCGGACCCAACCCGTCTGCACGCACAGCTCAATGAGGAACAGGGCTACCAACCTATTGCTTGGCACAGGGACCATGTGATAGTATACCTTGACAGTGATGGAGCCAGGTTTGGGCCAGTGCATCAGTAGCATCCTCAGCCAGACCAGACCTCCCGGCCCCACTCGGACCCAACCCGTCTGCGCACTCAGCTCCATGAGGAACAAGGCTACCAATCTACCGCTTGGCACAGGCACCATATGATGGTATACCTTGATGTTAATGGAGCCAGATTTGGGCCAGTGCATCAGTAGCATCCTCAGCCAGACCAGACCTCCCGGCCCCACTCGGACCCAACCCGTCTGCGCACACAGCTCCATGAGGAACAAGGCTACCAACCTACTGCTTGGCACAGGGACCATGTGATAGTATACCTTGATGGTAATGGAGCCAGATTTGGGCCAGTGCATCAGTAGCATCCTCAGCCAGACCAAGCCTCCCGGCCCCACTCGGACCCAACCCGTCTGCGTGCACGGCTGGATGAGGAACAGGGCTACCAACCTATTGCTTGGCACAGGGACCATGTGATAGTATGCCTTGACGGTAATGGAGCCAGATTTGGGCCAGTGCATCAGTAGCATCCTCAGCCAGACCCAGCCTCCCGGCCCCACTCGGACCCAACCCGTCTGCGCGCACAGCTCCATGAGGAACAAGGCTACCGACCTATTGCTTGGCACAGGGACCATGTGATAGTATACCTTGATGGTAATGGAGCCAGATTTGGGCCAGTGCATCAGTAGCATCCTCAGCCAGACCAAGCCTCCCGGCCCCACTCGGACCCAACCCGTCTGCGCACACAGCTCCATGAGGAACAAGGCTACCAACCTATTGCTTGGCACAGGGACCATATGATAGTATACCTTGATGGTAATGGAGCCAGATTTGGGCCAGTGCATCAGTAGCATCCTCAGCCAGACCAAGCCTCCCGGCCCCACTCGGACCCAACCCGTCTGCGTGCACGGCTGGATGAGGAACAGGGCTACCAACCTATTGCTTGGCCCAGGGACCATGTGATAGTATGCCTTGACGGTAATGGAGCCAGATTTGGGCCAGTGCATCAGTAGCATCCTCAGCCAGACCCAGCCTCCCGGCCCCACTCGGACCCAACCCGTCTGCGTGCACAGCTGGATGAGGAACAGGGCTACCAACCTATTGCTTGGCACAGGGACCATATGATAGTATACCTTGACAGTAATGGAGCCAGGTTTGGGCCAGTGCATCAGTAGCATCCTCAGCCAGACCAGACCTCCCGGCCCCACTCGGACCCAACCCGTCTGCGCACACAGCTCCATGAGGAACAAGGCTACCAACCTATTGCTTGGCACAGGGACCATATGATAGTATACCTTGACAGTAATGGAGCCAGGTTTGGGCCAGTGCATCAGTAGCATCCTCAGCCAGACCAGACCTCCCGGCCCCACTCGGACCCAACCCGTCTGCGCACACAGCTCCATGAGGAACAAGGCTACCAACCTATTGCTTGGCACAGGGACCATATAATAGTATACCTTGATGGTACAGGAGCCAGATTTGGGCCAGTGCATCAGTAGCATCCTCAGCCAGACCAAGCCTCTTGGCGCCACTCAGACCCAACCCGTCTGCACGCGCAATGCCGCCACGCCTTGTTCCTGTAAGTGACCTGCCCTGTAACTCTACAACCCTAAGCTCCAGCATGTAAGGCATCTTGCCCCACCTGGACAGGGCCGCGGATTTGGCTCTTCTCCGGCTCACTCTATCTCCCTCTAACCTCCTTCGATCTAGCTGAAAAGACCTGTTTAGCCTTCTCGCTACCCAATGCAGAGGATCCAAGGCACGAGACCCCCCCAAAGTGTAGTGGAAAGTTGTCAAACAAGGCCTTCTCCGCTCCCCTGCTCCGGAATTGTTGCGGCCGCACGGACCCGGCGCCGGCCGGACTTGAACCAGTCTGGGTCTCTGCGGATCCGGCTTAGTACGGTTTCGGCTGTCGACCATAGTAAGAGAGGCAAGAGAGCTGCGGGTACGGCGGGTTCCGAGCCCTAAGCGAGAGCGAGTCGAGGAGAGGTGGCTTCTTCTCAGCCATCTCTCACATCTCTCAACTTGCCCTCAGGTGCACTGCAGTAACTGTCTAGTTGCAACTTGAGCTGCTGTGCCCGGAGGGCTGAGGGCCGCGCCGGCGGCCGAGGCCGGCAGGCCGCTCCTCCTCCTCCCCTTGCGTAGCTCTTTCTCTGTCTCTGCAACCTATCTCTCCCGCTCTTGCCTGGGGTCTCGTGAGAGCGTCGCTGCAGCTCCTGTCCTCCCTGCGATACGTTCTCTCACATCTCACATCTCACCTTCAGCTCGCCAGAAATGCACTCCTGAACTAGTGGTTCTCGGACAGCTTGGAGCAAGAAAGAGGTGAGGCAGGCACAGGAGCAAGGTTGCAGCCGCACTATCAAAGTCTACAACCTGCCCGACTGGCTCACCTTCGCACGCAAATGACGCGACTTCTCGGACCCATGACGCACTGCGCGATGCGCACACCCACCTCCTCACCAACTGCGCCGCCCTCTGCTGCGTGATCCACCTGGAGGGTGCCTCGAAGGCCAAGTTGCGGGAGGAGGACAGGCTGGACGTAGATGTTCTCGACGGCCGAAAAGGTCGGGAGCCGAAGCGCGAGGGCGGTGAGGCGGTGGGCCAGGAGGTCGAGCACCTCCGGGTCGTCGGGCGCTGTGTGCGGGGCCGAGGCGTGCGAGGGTGGATAGGGAGAGGTTGAGGAAAGGGTGGTGGACGACAGTCGATCGAGGTGGGGCTGCAGGACCCACAAGGCCCAGAAGGCTGATGCTGCGCCGTCGAGACGATGGCGGGCCTTGGACGCCGCCGCAAAGCCATCGATGTGGGTCTGGACATGGGCGAGCGACAGGCGAGGGGCGAACGACGATGCCGACGCCGATTTCTGGAGGAGCGCGCTCTTGAGCTGGTAGTGCGCGAACAGGTCGCTGTACCGGCGCAGCGGCGACGTCACCTTGAGGTAGCCGTACTCGCCGCCGATGCCCATGGGCCAGTGCGGGCCAGGCGTTGGCGTCGTCGAGCCGGGGAGGAAGTCGATCGCGTGCTTGAGGACCTCGACGGCGGGCGCCTGCCCCGTCGACGGGTTGCGCATCGCGAGCACCGCCTCGAGGTCGGCCTCGTCGCTGACGGCGGGCGCCGACTGGGTGCGGAACGGTGCGGCGATCGAGCGCTCAACGGCGAAGCGCGCGGCGGACCGATTGGCGGCGACCATCATCTCCGAGACGAGGAGCTGCGCGGGCGAGTCGGCGTGCGACACGTGCCCCGAGATTGCTGCCGCCGAGGGGAGCTGGAGCGACACGTGTGGCGGCGAGGCGTAGAAGGTGGGCGTAGGCGCAGTGCGGAAGTGAGGGACGAGGGGCTTGGGCGAGATCGACACGGACGCCGAGGGGAACTGCCAGAACAGGGCCGACGATGCGACGCGTGCACGCAGGAGCTTGCCGGCGAGGTCGTGCAGCGTGCGTAGGTCGGCGACCGCCGCCAAGTCGGTTTCGAGGAGGGCGTCGTCCGTGGACCGCTCGGGCCGGCTCGTTTGAGTCGCCGCCGCCGACGTCGACGCGCCCTGCTCGCGCTCATCTGCGGCTGCCGGCGCCCATGACCGCAGGACACGCCCGCTTGGCGGCGGCGTGTAGCCGAGCGCCCGGTCGACGGCGCTGTACGTCAAGCGCCTGACGTCCCGCACGACGCCCACCTTGACCTCGTTCTCGAGGACCTCGCCCGACTCGGCGTCGACGCGCATGCCGAGGCTCAGGACGCGCTGACCCTGCTGGGCGCCCTCGAGCGCGCCGAGGCTCATGCGCTGCCCGACGACGAACTGCTCGGGGAGCATGGCCCAGGTCTTCTCCGGGAAGTACTCGGTGTGGTCGCGCACGCGCGCGAGCTTGGCGAGCAGGTGGCCCGGGTGGAGGAGCGCCGTCGGGTCGGCGACGTGGACGTGGACCCACCAGGTCTTGCCGCCGGTCGACGAGGACGAGGGCGGACCGGGCGCGAGCGAGATGCCGTCGTCGAGCTCCGACGCGCCGATGTCGTCGATCGTGTACACAGTCGCCGAACCAAAGTCGTGCCGAACAGCGTCGTGCGGGTCCTCGGGGTAGAACTCGCCCGAGGCGGGTGGCGCGGCGGCCTTGGTCGCGGTGGACGAGGGCTTCTTCACCACCGAGGACCGCTGCACGAGTGCGCGCTCGACGCGGGTGCCCATGTCGTCCCACTCGGCGAGGCCCGTCACGCGCTCGTGCGCGGTCCAGTTCTCCCAGGGCGCGACGATGCCGACGTCGCCGAGGAACTGGCGCACTTGCGCCTTCTGGACGTCGCGCTCGACAGGCGGGGCGTCCGCGCCCGACGGCGACGACGACGAAGACGATGACGACGATGAGGGCGAGGGCGAGGGCGAGGTGGTGCGCAGGCGCAGCGATGCGGCGTCGACGGCCTTGAGGAGCGACGGCGCGATGGCCATGTGCGGCTGCGCCTGGAGGAGCCGCTCGCCGGCGAGCGCGTCGCGCAGGAAGGCGAACACGACCAGGTCGGTCGCCGACCACCGGAACGTCGGGTCGTCCTCGGGGACCGCGAGCTGCGCGAGCGCGCCGTCGGCCGTGTCGCTGTCGCCGTCGCCTCGGGGCGCCGAGGCTGTCGCAGCGCGCTGCGAGCGTCCCCACTCGCGGACCCTGGCGCACTTGTCCGACCACGCCTCGAGCTCGCCGCCGACCGTGCGCTCGCGCGTCCACTGACGAACGCGCTCGAAGCGCTCAGCCTCGTCGCGGGACCGAAGGTCGAACCGGCCCGTGTGACGCAGGGCGACCTCGTCGGCGAGGAAGTGGGCGGGTTGGGCCATGAGCAGGCGGTGCATGGCGAGGTGGCGGGCGGGAGGCGCGTCGAGGGAAGGGATGCGGAGGGCGGCGAGCGCTGAGGGGACGGTGACGCTCCTGGGCGGGGCGGGCGTGGTCGATGGCGACGAGGAGGACACCCTGGACGCCTTCTTGCCCTTGCCCTTGGCCTTGAGCGCAGGGGGAGCGGGCGCGAGCGCCGGCGTCGCGTGCAGGATGCGGAACAAGTCGTTGGCGCCTCTCGCGACGAGCCGCTGCGTCTCGTCCTCGACCTCGATCGCGAGCCTGCGCAGGCCCTGGAGCGCCTCGATGACGCACTCCTCGCTCGGGTCCCACCCTGCGCCACCCTCCTTGTCGCGCTCGACGTCGGGCGCTGCGCGCGAAACGGCGACGACGCGGCGCGCGACGGCAGAAGGGACGAGCGACGGGATCGTGTGCGTCACGTCGTCGAGCGAGTGCTCGGAGCGGAAGCCCGACGCCGAGAGAAGGACGATGCGCCGCGCCGTGTTGGGCGACCGCGAGAGGTAGATGCCCGAGGTCGGGCTGCCGTTCCTGCGAGGCGCGCGCAAAGGAGAGTCAGGGATAGGCTCTGAGAAATGGGAGGCAGGCACAGGAGACAGAGAGAGTGAGGGGGAGACGCACCGGCTGATCTCGACAAAGTCGCCCATCTCGAGCTCCCTCGCGCGCGCCTTGCCCTTTCCACCCGCGCCGCCCTCGGCGCCAAAGTCGGCGTCGTCCCACAAGCCGCCGTCGGCCGAGCCCGACAGGTCGAGATCTGCGTCGAGGCCGGCGAGCGACTCCTCGGCGAGGCGGACGCTGCCGCGTGCGGCGGCGGCGGACGTGTGCAGCGAGCGCGACGAGGACGGCGGGCCAGCCGCTGCGTCACGGCGGCGAGTCGGGGCCGCGGGACCGGCGCCTGAGTGCGCCGCGCCACGGTCGTGCCGCCGCACGAGCGGCGCACCGCTGTGCCGCGTCCCCTTGTGCGCCATGCTCGCCTCGACCTGCTGCGAGTCGATGCCGACGAGCGCGCCGCGCCCCGACTTGGCGCCGCCGACGCGAGTACGCTCGGCTGCGCGGCGGTGCGGTGTGACGCGGAAGCCAGCCTGGGCGACGTAGCCCTTCGAGTGCGGACGAGCGGCGGCGTCGGGGCGAGGAGGGGTCGGGTGGGAGGGGGAGGACGAGGCGAGCTCGTGGGTGGCGTAGGCTGCTGAGCGGAGGACGCGAGTGCGCAGGCGATATTCAGGGTCGCGCTTGGGCTTGTCGGTGCGAGTAGATCGAGATGGCGGTGCCGGCGTCGAGCTCGAGGCTGAGGGGAGCGACGAGGTGGTAAAGAGGGCGCGGGTCGTGGACGATGTCGTGCGGCAGATGGCGTGGCGTGCGGGTACCGACAGCATAGTTGCTCGGCTCTGCAGATGCGCGCGGCCGTGCTGGAGGCGGGCGAACTGCGGCGATGAGCGAAGGTGAGCGGGCGAGGAGGAGGAGAACAGTCGCCACGAGGGGGACGCACCTGGACGACGGGACTGTGGTCTATAGACACACGCCGTGGTCGAGTCTAGCAGTCCAGGAGAGCTCTAGCTGCAGAAATGGTGGGGTGAGCGAGAGCCGAATCTCATCGCCGCTCGCTTCCTCCTGGTTGCCCTCTCGTCACCCAGCGTACCGCCACAGAGGCTGTCCTGCCCCCGACCAGCGCGACATACAGCTCACTCGCAACGGCTTGCGCCAACGACACGCGCCTCACGAGCTCTTCACGAGCTCTCGTCACCTTTCGACCTCGCTCCGCCTCCCCAGCTCTCGAACGACCACTTGAGGGGCACAAGATCTCGAGCCACCAGATTGTGCGCACTTGCGCTCGCTCGCCGCCCTCGACGCGGCGCACAAGGAGTTCGCTAGACGAGCTCTCCTACCTGCTTCCCTCGCATCGCCGACAGCCACAGCTCGTCCCTCGCCACTTGCTCTACCGTCGCCACCCTCGCCTGCCCCGAAACATCTACCTCTTCCTCTCAATTGCGACCGCCGACGGCGTCCCGTCCGACCACGGGCTCCAGACGGTCACGATCGAGCCGTTCCCGCACAGCGGCGCCGGCCTCTCGATCGCGAGCGTGCACCCGTGCAAGCACAGCGCCGTCATGAAGAAGGTCACTGAGCGCATGGACGGCAACGTGAGGGAGATGCAGCGTCGGGGGAGGGCTGAGGGCCAGGGGCAGGGCGAGGGGGCACACAAGGAGAAGGAGAAGGAGGAGAAGAAGGGTGGCGGGAGCAGGTGGCTCGGGCTCGGGAAGAAGAAGGACAAGGAGGCTGCGGGAGCGGGAGCGAAGGACGGCTCGAGCGAGGGTGCGGCGGGACCGGACGCAGACGACGAGGGCCTGCGCGTCGAGCAGTACCTGCTCGTGTTCCTCAAGTTTATCAGCGCCATCAGTGCGTCCCCTTCACTCTCCCTCTGCGCGCCTTCACAGACTGGCCCCTGACCACGGTGGCCGTGCCCGCAGCGCCGACGATCGAGGTCGACTCGACGGCGAGCATCGTCCGTCTCTGTCTCTCTCTCGCTCTCCTGGCTTCGTCTCGCGCTCGACCGACACTGACTCTTTTCTTCGCCCCCGTGCAGTGATCCTGATTCACCCGTCGCCACCTCGACTCGCCCAGCCTCGCCTAGATTCGACTGGACCCGACTCGGCGCTGGTCGCCTTCTCGTCGCTCGGACCCCTCGTCTCGACGCGGCGCCCTCGTCTCGACGCGGCGCCCTCGTCCTCCCTCCCCCACGTTGACCGTCGTCCTCGGCCTCCTCGGTTACCCTCCCTCCCCCCTCGTTCGCCTTCCTTGCCCTTGCCCTCTATCTCTCTATTGCGCCGCCGTGTTTGCCTCCCTCCCTCCCCCTGACTCGTCGTACCCCCTCTCGCCCGCGCTCTCGCTCTGCAACTCGCTGTGCCTCTCTGCAGCCAGGCCACGAGAGAGAGGGACCTCGAGACGTCTCGTTGCAGAGCGCTGCCAAGACGCGCGCAGAGAGACGGGCGCGCAGGGTCTGGGCACGAGGACGAGAGGAGGGAGGGAAAGTACGACAAGCGGAGGAAAGGCAGGGGCATAACGAGGACGACGGACATGCGGTGCGAGGGAGAGAGGGGGACAGGCTAGACAGAAGCTGCGCGAGAGAACCGAGAGGAAAGGAGTGGCACAGGCGAGTGCGAGCGCGAGCGCGAGCGCAAGCGCGCGAGGGGTGGCCGGCAAAGTGAAGGAGGGACAAGCACAAATGAGGGAAGGTAGGACAGAAGATCGCGAGTACGTAGGAGGGGATTAATAGTGTTGGCGAGTGCGGTGGAAGGAGGGGGAGAAAGGCGACGTTGGCCACGTCGGCGGTCGAGCGAGGTGCGCTCAAAGCACGATGAGCTTCAAGGGTGCATAAAGGTTCATCAGTCAGGCGCTCAAGGGGGGCAAGAAAGAGGAGTTAGGAGGGGTGCCACGCACCGGGCCGTAGATTCCCCAATGCGTCGTGCCGCCCGGCCCGTTCATGCGGCCCAACTCGAAGCGGCGCAGGTCGAAGTCGCGGTCGGCGAGCCGGACAATGACGGACTTTGACAGGTCGATGGCGCCGAGGCCGTGGTTGTGGAGCAGGTACTCGCGGTGTGGGAAGAAGTCGAGGGCGAGGTTGTTGACAAAGTACACTTGCTCGACCTTGTACGTCTCGATCGAGGGCGGGAGCGACGCGAGAAGGACGTCGAGCGCCACCGTCGACAGGCTGAGTGTGGTCTGCAGGCCGTCGACAGGCTTCTTGGGCCCGAGGTGGACGGACTGGAGGTGCTCGAGGTGCGACAGGCCGGCGACCCAGGTCGGGAGCGCCTCGGTGAGCCTCGCGTCAGAGTGGGCGTTCAGGTGCACTGACTTGAGGTTGACAAAGTTGGTGAGCAGGTCGGGCCCACCGAACTGCGACAGGCCGACGTTGATCCACAGGTGCTTGGTCTCGCTCGGGTCGATGCAGGGCCAGAGGAGGTCGGCGAGGCTCGGCTGGCCGCCCATGCCCTGGTCGTTGAAGTAGAGCGCCTCGAACCGATGCTCGCCCGTCATGCTGACCTGGCCTGCAAGGTGCGGCGCGGCCCACGTCGACTGGATGTGCAGCGACTCTAGCCGGACGAACGTGTTGAGCGCACTACCGAGCTCGACGACGCCGATGTCGGAGCCCAAGACGACATGGAGCGCCAACGACCTGAGGGTGGCGGCCATGGGCAAACGCGCGAGCTCGATGAGGTCCTTGACGTGGCGGAACGCGAGGCTCTGGCCGCCGCGATCAAGAAGTTCGAACTGGAGACCGCAGTTGATCTTGAGGCCACGCGAACAGCCTTTGAGGATCGCGAGCATGTGGGAGACCCATCCGGCGGATGACTGGTCGGCGGCTTGCAGCTTGAAGGCGAGGGTGCGCACGTGTGACAGCAGGTCGCGGCGCGTGGCGAGCTCGGTGGCGAAACGGCGGTTGCGATCGTCGCAGAAGATGATCGTGTGGGTCCAGATGACGCGACGGCCGTACTCGCGGAGCTGCTTGCTGGCGAGCGACAGGCGGCCCCCGATGACGAGGCGGTTGCGGACGCCCTCGTTCTCGAGGTAGCCGACGATGTGGTCGATGATCTCGGCCGGCAGGCGGATGCGTGTCGAGCCGCCCTGTGGTACGTACGCAAAAGCTGTCGTCAGCTCCTGAACGGGGGCCTTGCCCAAGCGAAAAGGAGGAGAAGGGGACGCACGCGGCTCTGGGGGATCCGACGGCCTCGCCGAGGCGGGATCTCGATGCTGAACCTCGCTGTGCGCAGGAGAACAGGTCAGCTCTCGCTCGGTCGGCCTGCGCTCTTGCTCGCGCCGAGGACTGAGGGGGAAATGAGAGGACGCACTCATGCTCGTGTTGAGGGAGCCGGCCCTAGATGACTGGACGACGAGCACGGCTAGCTGCGGGCGTCGTGGAGGCGTGTGAGCTCCTTCCGAGGCTCCTTTGCCCACCCGCCACCCGGCAGAGAGGGAGGAGGACGCACCACTTGACGCGATAGATGAAGACCGCGAGAGGCCTCGACAGGAACGACAGAGCGACGGGGCCTTGCCTGGACGCGACAGGACCGATGAAGAGCACGATAAAAGAAGCTAGCGGGGTCGTCACAGTGGTCCCAGCGGTGGGACGACGTGCGAGGATGAGGAGGAAGCCAACCCGCCGCCTGCTCCACCTGTCGACGAGCTGCGCCTCTTGCTCGGTCGACCTAGCTGCCGAGGGCCTGCGGATACGCTCAAGCTTGCTGTGCCGCTTCTCCCCGCGCTCGCACACTTCGCCGAGCCCTCACCGACGAGCCGGACCACGCGCACCAGCCGGCCCCACCTGAGCTCCTCGCACGACGACGCCGCACGGCCAGTGTGCCCGCAAGACCGCCGCCATGTCGACACCGAGCGTACTCTTCAACGCGGCCGCGCTCGACGTTGTCGTCGCCGCGCGCCCCGACCTCGTCGCCTCGGCTCCTCCTTCGCCAACGTCGGCGACGCAGACCTCGCCAGTCGCACCGACGCCTGGGTCGACGGCCTCATCAAGGCCCCGAGACGGGCTGCACTGTATCACGACGAGCGCCTCCAGTTCCACCTCGTCGTCTCGCTCCCCCCACCCCCTCCTTCTCCCTCATCCTCCTCCTCCTCCACAGCACCGTCCGCCCTCACACGCCACCAAGCCACAACCCTCCTCCTCGACTCGCTCCCGACGACCGCGCACCTCCAGATCGCCGCCGACCTCGCCTACGTCGACCCGACCACCCCGCCGCCCCTCCCGTAGCGCACCTCGTCCCTCCACGGCGCGCGCGCTAGCGCCAGCCCGGTCCTCGCCCGCGCGCCCCTCACGCCCGCACCCTACCCGGCCACGCCGCCGCGTCGACGCCGACGCGCGAGTCGCACGCCGGCGGCGCGAACGAGGTGCACATCGCTCGGGCGCACCCGCAGACGGGCGGCGAGGGGGCGCGCGTGTGGGTCGCGCGAGGACAAAGCGAGGGCGAGTGGGTCGGCGTGTGGCTCCTCGAGTGCGACTTGCGTGCGTCCCTTGTCGTTGTTCCTCTCGGCCCCCTCCCGAGCTTTCGCCCTGACGCTCCTCCTGCCCCGACAGCGTTCGTCCGCACGCAGCTGCGCGACCCTCGGCTCGCTATCACGTTCGGCGTCACGCTCCGGGACGACCCAAAGCTCGCGCTCCTCCTCGACCGGGTCAAGGACGGCGACGCGCCGGCGAGAGGTGCGGCGGGCGAGGACGCTCTCGAGCTGGGCGCGGGCGAGGCGGACGATGACGAGGAGTACATGTAGGACAGCTACGACGGTGCGTCTCCTGTCACCTTCCTCGTCAACCGTACGGGCCTGACGCTCTCCCTTACACAGACGTCAACCTCCTGTCGGCGCTCGCGCCCATCTCGTCCCACCCGCTCCACCTCCCCTTCTCGCGCCTCTCGTCGTTCTCCCCCCAGCCTCCACCCGCGCTCCCGATCCCTCGCTCGCGCACCGTCTCGATCTCGCACACGCGCACCCTCTCGGCCAGCTCGTCGACCTCGTCCTCGTCCGGCGAGCCGTCGCACCGCGCCGCCGCGCACGCGCACCACCCGTCCCTGCGCCGCTCGGTCCGGCGCGTGCTCCCGCTGCGTCCCGCGCTCCACATCGACCTGCGTGCCGTGCCGTGCCCCGTCGGCACCCTCGGGCTCGCAGACGGCCAGGGCGTCTTTGCGCAGCACGGCGCCGGCGTGCGCGGCGGCGGCGCCGGTGGCGGCGACGACGAGGACGAGATGGGCCTCGTATTCTGCGTCGAGATGGGCGGTGCGGCAGCGAGGGCGCTCAGCGGCGGCCCGGGCGCAGAGGACGCGCAGGACGACGCGTTCGTGGTCGACGAGGTCGAGCTCGTCGTCGAGGGCGCGCTGTGCCCTCGTCGCACTCACCTCGCCCTGCTCCATCTTTGCGTAGCGTCGCCCTCTCTCTCTCCCTCTCCCCTCCCTTCCCTTGTCGTGCCCCCCCCTGCCTCTCTTCGCCTCTCTCGCTCTGCAAGTCGCTTTGCCCCTCGCAGACTTGCACGGATCGAGAGAGAACGGACGTCTCGTTGCAGGTCTCTACCGAGGCGAGACGCCAAAGTGGGCGCGCTAAGATGTACGAGGGCGGGAGGACGAGGACGAGAGGAAGGAGGAAGGGACAGTGCGAGGAAGCGTGGATTCCTCGCTCGTCTTGTTCGTCTCGCCGAATCCAGCTCTCTCAGACCGGCTCACCAACGACGGAGGACTCGCGAAAGGGCCAACTGCTGTTGCACGCGGAGCTCGAGAGAGAGAAGGTGACAAAGGGCAAAGGGAGAGACGAACGAGGGCGCGCTCAGGCACAGGCCGCCCAGACGAAGCGCTCCTTGGGCATCTCGCGCGTCTGGCGCAGGAATTCGGGCTGGCTCCAGGGGACTGCGCAGGTATCGAGAGCGTCAGGCACGGCGGCCGGGAGGATGAGGCAGAGGAGGGGAGGACGCACAGAGGATCGTGCACTTGCCGATGCTCGGGTCGACGTACCAAGACTGCGACGCGTGAGGGGTCAGTAAAGTCGTGGTCGTCATGAGAGGAGAGGGAGCAGGGACGCACGATGCCGCCGTCCATCTCCCACACCATCTTGGCCATCTGAGCGCGCATCTTGGCGTACCACTCGTCCTCGGCCTGCTGGATCACCTCGACGCTCGGCGCCGGGCCCTCGCTCGAGATCGAGCGCGCCTTGAGCTGCTTGACGACGGGCTTGAGGAGGTGAACCATCATGTCGACCGTGCACTCGGTGTTGAACAGGGCCGACGAGTGTCCTGTGATTGCGTTGGGCCCCATGAGGAGCCAAAAGTTGGGGTACGACGCCACCATCGAAGCTGCAGGCGGTTTCCGGCATCAGTCGAGAGCGCGCAAGAGAGGGAGAGAGAGAGAGAGAGAGAGAGAAGTAGAGAGTGGACGGACTCAAGTACGTCTTGACGCCGTTGCCCTTGAGCCGTTCGACGAGGCTCTCGCCCTCGCTGTTGAACACCGACAGCGGGTGCAGGTACTCGGTTACTTTGAAGCCTGTCGACAGGACGATGACGTCGGCCGGCACCTCGACGCCCTTCTCGGTCGTGACGGTGCGGCCCTTTGCCGAGACGATCGTGTCGGGGAGGAGGAGGTTGAACTTGGGGCTGTGGAGCGAGGGGCAGTAGCCCGAGAAGTCGATGATGCGGCACTGCGAGACGAGGGGAGGGCCGAGAAGGAGAGTGCGAGGGAGGGAGGGTAGGGACCAGGTGGATGAGTCAGGCTTCCGAGGGCGCAAGGACGACGACGAGGAACCGAGCGAGCTCACCTTCTGGCCAAACTCGAAGTCGAACACGAGCTGGTCGCGGTACTTGGCGGGCGCCGTCTTCTCGATGCTGCAGGCGGCAAGGAAAGGGTTAGTGAGGTAGACGACGACGAGGACGAAACAGAGGGCCCGAGCGGGAGACGCACTACTTGGTGCTCGCCTCGTGGATCGACTTGCGGCCCTCGGCGCCCTGGTCCTTGTCGGCGAGGTAGAAGTAGCTCTCGCAGATCTGGTACACCGCCCACCGGAAGAAGGTGAAGAGCTGCAGGAGGGAGAGAAGGGAAGGAAGTCAGGACCGCTCGCGTCTTGCGACACGATGCCCGAGAGGGGAGAGCAGAGGACGCACGCCTGGGAGCCATCGATAGAGCCCGTTCGTGAACGCGTTGTCGACGATGGCGTTGGGCGGCACGATGGCGTGCTTGCCGCGCCCGATCTGCGTGAGCGACTTGACCTCGGGCAGGATGGCCGGCACGAGCTGCGCCGCCGAGCAGCCGTTGCCGAGCACGACGACGTCCTTGTCCTTGAGCGACACGTCCTTGTTCCACCTCGCGCTGTGCATGACGGCGCCGTCAAACTCGCTCGTGTCGAACGGGGCGTCGGCCGGCGTCGACAGGGCGCCGACCGCCGAGACGAGGATGTTGCACGTCTTGGTGCGCGTCTCGCCTGTGACGACGTTGCGTAGCTGGACGGTCCACAGGCCGGTCGAGCGCGAGAAGCGCGCCTCGTCGACGACGGTGTGGAAGACGATCTGGGGCCGCACGCGGTACTTGTTGACAACGCGTTCGTAGTAGCGGCAGATGCCCTCGGCGCCGGGCCACTGGGTCGAAAACTCGGTCGCGGGCTCGAACGAGAACGAGTAGAATGCGATCGGGATCTGTCGGCGTCGGTCGAGGAAGTCAGCTGTTCGGCTCGAGGTCGACGACGGCGAAAGAGAAAGGCTGACGCACGTCGCAAGATGCTCCAGGGTAGCGGTTCGCCGCCCAGGTACCGCCGAGCTCGCCGTCCTTCTCGCTGCACGCGTCGAAGGAAGAGGTCAGGTCCTGGGTGCCGGGCGAGGCAGGAGGAGGAGGGGGCGGACGCACTAGCAGGCGACGTCGTCAAGCTTGAGCAGCCGCTTGAGCTGGATGAGGGCATCGAGGCCCGACACGCCGGCACCGACGATCACGCTGCGAGGGCGCAGGCGTCAGCGTCCGTCGTCGTGGGGGAGTGGAGGTCGAGAGGAGGAGGAGGAGGACGACGAGCAACTCACGCCGTCGTGTGGCTCGCCGCGTCCAGCGCAGTCTTGTCCGAGCTCGTGAAAGCAGGCATGGCGGTCGCGCTGGCTCAACGAGGGTACTGGAGGGAAGAGAGAGGCATCGCCGTTCTCATCTCTCGGGCGAACCGTCGGGGCGTCGCCGGCGGGAGGAGCGTGCGCCCGGGGCCCGATGCCGAGGCTGCGCTAAGCAGCGATCGTGATGCGGAGGTCGAGCCCTCCAGAGCGGCGACAGCCCGTGTGCGGCGCAAATTGTGAGGAGGAAGAGGAGGTCGGGGGAAGCCGCCGACGAGCCGACGCAGCTCTCGAGATGTACTCAGGTCGCGCAAGTCTCGATTCGAGGGCTCACTCACACTCTCGAGCACACGACGAGGCTACGAAGCCGAACGAGAATGACCTCCTTGCAGCCAAAGCCCCCTCGCGCTCCGTCCCTCCTCGCGCACACCATTGCCGAGACCAAGCCATCCGCAGCGGACCGCTTACTCGACGGCGATGTTGACCTGCAGGCGAGGGCTCGACGGTCAGTCTGGGTAGAGGGCGAGGCGAAGAGAGGGCAGGCGAGGACGCACGTGCGGGTTGAAGAAGGGCGTGTTCGGGCCCCACGCTGCGAGACAGGTAGGCAAGAGTCAGTCAGTGCCCTTGCTCGCCGAGAGACCAAGAAAGAGAGAGAGAGAGGACGTACGGAAGTCTGCGAAGAAGCGGAATGGCGGTGCCGGGAAGGGGGGAAGGGGAGGAAAGGAGGACAAGGTCAGGGGCAACTTTCGCAAGAACATGACGACGCCCGATCATTTTCGTACCCTTCTCGCGCTTGTTGAAGTCTATCGGTGTGGGTGGACGGTTTGAGGTGGTCGTAGAGGAGGCGCGGGAGGCAAGAAAGGGTCAGCGAGGAGGTCGAAGGGAGGGGAGAACGCTTCGCGACGCCGCAAAGAGGTAAAGAGTCGTGACGCACAGGGCTGCGCAGAGAACGAAGCGTCAGTGACTGTGGACGAGGGCGAGAGGAAGGAGAGAAAGCGGGACGCACGTAGACGATGCGCTCGGGGAGCTCGCCGCCGTTGTCCTCCTTGATGTGCTCGAGGTGCTTCTCGTGCTCGTCGGCGAGGGCCTTGGCGTTGAGGAGGCCGATGATGACTGCGTGGCGGAAAGGAGGGGGAGGCAAGAAAAAGGGTCAGCAGGCGTGCGTGAGGAGGAAGGGTTGCTCGGGTCGGCGCAGACGGGACGAAGCCGTGCGCCGGTCAACGGTACGAGGCCCGGCCGCCGGGCTCGTCCGGGGCGCACAGAGCTCCTCGACACCATGCGCACGCCGACTGCTCGGGCCCGAGTTCTCGTCGCTCGTCGCCGTCGTCGAGAATCGTCCGCCCGACGACGGCGACCTCGCCACGACCGACCTCGACCCGATTCGCAAGCGAGACAGGGACGCACTCGACGGGAAGGCGACGTAGTAGCTGTTGCGTACGAGGCAGATCGGGGGGCAACAGGGTGAGTGACCGTCGACGAGGAAGGGCCGGGAAGTGCGGATGCGAGGCGACGGCGTCCACGAGCGGTGCGGCGCGGATGGGTCGGCCCGAGGACAGCACGCAGCTGAGCAATACGCTAGCTGCGCATCTGCTAGTCCACCTCGGCCGCGCCCCGCCGACGAGGGAGGCTTCTCGCCCTCACCTGCCCCGCGCCGACCTCGTCCCGTCTCCCTCGCCTCGCCAGCCTGACCTGCCGGCCAGTGTGCGCCCGCGCAAGGACATAGAGAGGGAACGCAGGGACGCACGTGATCTTGCGCCAGAGCTCTGCCGAGTGCTTGGCGTGGTCGGCGATGGCCTGGCGGCCGGCCTCGAACTCGTTGGCGCTGGCGCCAGCCGGGGCGGCGGTCGAGTAGGCGCGGCGGGCCGAGCGGGCGGCGATGTTGCGGAACGCGGCGAACATGGTGTGCAGTGAGCGGTCGAGGGTGAGCGAGACGAGGAGGAGCTGCGCGCCGTGTGCTGGTTGGCCGGCGACGAGAACAACCGCGGGTGGATTACGAGCGCGAAGATGCTATTGAGCAATACAAAGGCTGCTAATCTGGCCGGCCCTGACCGGGGCGCTGCGGCGGCTTCGATCACTCGGCCACGCGCTGTTCTCCTCCTCGCTCGCTGCACGCTCGAGGTGCGCATGGCTGCGTACACTCGCGTCGAGCAGAAGGACGACCTCGCAGAGCTCGGCGAGCTCGGCGGCCCTCCACGGCGCGGCCCCCTCCAGCCTCAACCTCTCGCTCTCGCCGTCGGGCCCGCGCAGTCCGCCGTCCGCTCCCTCAACTGGTCGTACGCCGGCTGGGTCGTCGCCCTATTCCTCTTGGCTCACTCGGTACGCCCCAGCCCTCTGTTCAAGTGCGCGACGGCGAGCTCACCCTCCCCCACCGTCGACAGGCCTGGACGAGCAAGTCGGCAACGACCAGCGCCGAGGATGACTGCTTCGACCCTTTTCGTTCGCTCGGATGTGCGCGTGACTCTCTCCCGTCGTGGCCGAGTCAGAGCCGGAACTGACCCAGGCTTGCGCGCAGACGTTCACCGCCCGGCCAACCTCTCGCTCCGCCATTTCGCCTATCCTCCCTCGGCCTCGCTTGACGACCTCACTACGCCAACACCGATAGACGCCTCGATGGATCCTCCCGATGGCGCCCTGAGCCTGGCGGCGCCGGCGTACGGCGACATGCTGAACGAGAAGGTCAAGCCGCACGACCTCGCATTCGCTCGCGACAAAAGCATCTGGTTCATCGGCGACTCGTGCGTCCCCGCTTCACCCCATCACTTCTCCAGGTGCACAGACTGACGCTGCGCTCCCTCAGGCACGACCGCATGAACCTCGAGATGTTCTGCCAGCAGCACGAGGCGGGAGGAGCCGTCCTCGACGTCCCGCACTGGCATATCAAGGCCAACTGCCGCTTTCCTGTGCGCTTCTCTTTCTCTATCCATCCGAGCCCCTCCCTCTCGTTACGTAGCCTGACTCGCTCGATGCTACAGGACCTCAACCTCACCTTCGCGTCGTTCTTCCACTACGGCCTGTCGCCCGAGTCCGAGTCGAGCGAGCCCGATCCCTGGAACATCCCACAGATCGAGACGTCGCACGAGAACGAGAACCCGGGCCCGTACTCGGTCGAGGGGCGCCTCAAGGAGTACTGGCTGCCGGCGGTCGCCGAGGTCGGCCGCCCGAGCCTGATCGTCCTCAACTCGTTCTTCTGGGTCCGTCCTTGTCTCGTTTCTGCCACTCGCCTCGTCGTCCTAACCCTCTCTGCTCCCGCAGGACCTGCGCTACTTCGCCCACCACGCCCGTCACTTTGACCGCGGCACCCTCCTCCGCCAAGACGAACGCCCGCTCACCTACTCCGAGCTCGCGTGGCACCGCTCTCGCGCCCGGGCCTTCATCGACGCCGTACGCGCCGCGTTCCCCGGCACGCCCGTCATGTTTCGCCTCGGGCAGGAGCACCAGACGAACCGCAACGAGGGCAACGTCGCCGTCTACCAGCTCAACCAGAGCCTGCGGGCAGTCCTCGCCAAGATGAACGTGCCCGTGTTCGAGTGGGCGTCGCTCCTGACGGGTGAGCGGCGGTACGGTGCGTCGCAGCACTTTCTCACTCTCTCCCTCTCTCTCGCTCGCCTCGCACGGCGCGTCGAGCCTGACCCACCCCCCTCCTCTCGCAGCCGACGATCAACACTTCGCCGCCGGTGCGCCCGCCCGTTTGTACTCCGATATGGCATTGTACTACCTGCGGCGCGCCGTCAAGGGCTGGGACCGCTGCGAGCCGTGGCCGAGCATGGCGCGACCGCCCGCTCGAGCTCGATGAGCGCTCAGGCCCCTCTCGAGTCGTCTCTCTTTTTTCTCTCTCGCTGTAGCACGGACACTGGCTTTGCGCGTACCGCTGTATCTAGACGTGTCTCTATTGCAGGTCGGGCGTGTGCGAGGAGAGTAAAGCAAGAGAAGGAGAGCTCTACTCGTCGGCGTCGTCGTTGGCGACGCGGTCGCCCTTCTCCTCGCGGAACCGGTTGAGGTGCGCCGTCGTCGGGTCGTAGGCCCTGCGCGAGATGTGAGGAGTGAGTCTGTGCGTCGAGGTCGAGTGCGCGAGAGATAAGAGAGGGAGAGAGCAGGGCGCACCAGTGATTGAGCGTCTGCCGGATTCCGGGCGAGACGAGCTCCTCGTCGGGCTCGACAAAGTCTGTGGCGTCGCCCGTGAGGTCTATCAGCGAACGACTCGAGTGTATGCCGAGTCGAAGCCGGATCCCGAGTGGAACGAGCGACTCACGGACGCCCCGGTCCCGGTACTTGCCCAACAGCATGCGCTTGAACCGGCCCGAGTTGCCCGCGACGCCCGCCCACCGCTGCACCTGCCGCGCATCGTCGTCGCACCGGCGCCCGAGATAGAAGCGGTAGTACCACGAGAACCAGCCTCGCGCATCGTGCTCAGGCCGGATCCACCCGTTCTTCTCCCACACCTCGAACGGCTGGCCCATACGCGCTTGCCACTTGTTGACCGACGTGTCGCCTGGATCGGGGCGCGTGAGGTACTGCGCGCGAGGAGGCCGGATCAGGTCTGCGTGGGAGAGGCGAAGGCGCAGGAGAAGAGAGGAAGGAGGGGGGCGCACGAGCGAGACGTCGAGCCCGTCGTACCATTCTGCGAGGGGGCACCTGGGTCAGTGTCACCTGGTGCTGGAGCGATGCTGGAGAGCTGGGGCGCACCTTTGGGAAAGTCGGACCAGTCCTCGTGCAGCTCACGGCCGGATTTCTGGCTCTGCGCACGAGTCGTCCTCGTTGAGCTCTCGCTCGTCGCGCAATCGTCAGGGGAAGAGGAGCGCACCTTGACCGGTCTGAAGAAGCCGCCGTCGAAGGAGCCCTGGCGAATGATCTCCCTGCAAGGCGGGAAAGGGAGAATCAGTGCCGGCTCGGCGCCTGAGGGCGAGACTGAGGGGACGCACTCGGGCGACATGTTTGGCCGGAAGTCGGGGTAGTCGTCAAAGTGGAACTCGCGCGTCTTGCTGTCGCGCCAGGGAAGTGGACAGGCTGCAGCAGGCGAGCGAGGGTCAGGTTCGCGTCCGACAACCGGCCGGGTCGGAGAGGAGAAGGGGCGTGAACGCACTGATAGTGTAGTCCTGCTGCCCATCGCCGAGCGTGACCTTCTTGCCGACTCTGCTGAGCCGTTCCGCCTCGTCGTCCTGCCCGTCCTGGGCTGCCCGACCCCCGCCTCGCTGCTGCACCGCCTCCGAGCCGACCTCGCCGCGGTCGCGGTCGCCGCCGACCTCGATGGCCGAGAGGCGCAGCTTCTTGCGGGTGCCGATGCGCTCGGCCTTGGGCTCGACTGGCCGCTTCTTGCGCTTGGGGGTGGGGAGAGGCGCGGGAGGGGGAGATGGTGACGTCGCGCTGGGCGGAGCGGGGTCGGCGGCGGTGGGCTCCGTGGCCGTGGCGGGAGGTGGGTCGAGCACTGAAGCGGGCGAGTGAATGCGTGCAGATCGCGTGCGGGCCATCGCAGCAGGGGCGAGGCGGGGTCGGTGGGAGAGGAGCACCCGATCGTGAGGAGGAGGAGGAGCTGATGAAGCTGGCTAGCAGCTGTCGCTCTCGCTGGGCTGCCAGAGCGCCGGTTCGGTCTCCCTGTGTGTCTCTGCAGTAAGGCAGGGCAGACTCGAGAGCGCAACAAGCTATCGGCGACGGCTCTCACCTCCTCGCCTTCCGCTCTCCGTCGCGTCTTGCAGCGACAAGCAACACACGTATAGGGACGAGGATGGGCTCACTAGCGAGCCAGCTTCTGTCGCTCACCGACGCGCGGACGAAGGAGGACCGGCGGGAGGCGTAGAACGACGAAAGCTGCTTGCAACACTGCTCGACGACCATTATGTACTGCAGGACCAGGGAGAGTTAGCAGTCTTCCGGAAATATGACCTTGAAAGGAACGACGACGTACCATGTGACCCAGAGACGAACCGCTCCTCACTGCCCTGCTCCCGTGCCGCCCTGCTCCGCCTCCTGCCCCTCGAGCTCCGCCCGCTTGGCCTCGAGGCGGACCCCGTTGCGCTTGCCGAGAACGCGCAGGATGCGTGCACGCTCGGACGGGATCATCTCGCTCCAGTTGGCGATGCGCGAGAGGGTCTGCGAGGTGGGAGAGAGCGAGGTCAGCTGCACCGCCTCCGGTCGGCGAGAGGGAGGGTCGGGGGAGGGACGCCGAGGCGAGGAGAGATGAGACGCACACCGTCCGAGTTGACGACGGTCGGACCCATCGTGTCGAGCAGGCTGAAGCTCTGGCCGTTGACCTCGAGTTGGCTGACGCCTGCCTCGACGTCGCCCGGAGCGGGGAGGGCGAGCGGCGCCTTGGGCGGCGAGGACGGCTCGGCCGCGTGTTGTGCAGAGAGGTTGACGGGCTCTGACATTGACTCGAGCGAGCTGGGCAAGAGGAGGGAGCTGAATGAAGACAAAGGAGCCGCTCGAGCTGATGAGGGGAGCCTCTCCTCTTCATTCCACGCGCTCGCCTTTCGCTCGTTGGCTCTGCTTGGCTGCTCGTGCGCTCCAGATGGTCTACTAGCCGGGCTTCCACGCGCCGCCGCCGACCTACACGGTCGTTCTGCGCGGCTGCGCCCGTTTTCAGCTCTCCGCCTCCCAGATCCGCACCGACTCGCCGAACCACTTCACGGGCGTGTTCCTCGGCGGCAATGGCGGCAGCACGGTCCTCTACTCGGACCGGCGCCCGACCTACTTCCACCTCATCGTCGAGTGGCTCAGCGGCTACGACGACTTCTTCGACCACCTCAAGCCTCGCGACGGCGTGAGCGAGCGGGAGGCGCTCGCCGCGCTCGTTATTGAGGCAGAGCACTTCAAGCTTAAAGGTCTGGCTGAGCGCGTCGGCCGCGAGCTGGCCAAGTGCGCCCTGCGAGCCGACAAGCTCGCGCTAGCCGAGCAGGCGGTCCGCCAACGCCCGCCGACTCGCGTTTCGTACCTCGAGGACTCTCGCGACACGGTGCAGGAGGGCGACACGTCCACGAGCCAACTCGGCTTTACGTTGACGTCGATCCAAGTCCGGTGCGCTCCTCAGTTCCAGCTCCCTCCTCCTCGCCTCCTCCTATGGTACTGACTCTGCGCCCGACCGACAGCTTCGACTGCCGCCTGCTCGACGACGACGACGACGACAACTATAAGCTGCCTTCCGTCCGCCTCGAGTTCGTCAACGAGAAGGGCCAGCGGGCCACCGCGCCTCACAAACCGATCAAGGTCGACCTTTGCGGCAAATCGAGCCGGCAGGGGTCGGCTACCGTCGACGGGTCGCCTATAAGCCTAGCCGTCCTCCTGCGCTGGATCGTCAACCCGACTCGGGCAACGAGCAAGATCCCCGCCCTGCGCCCGCTCGTCGACTACTTCCACCCGGAGCTCACGCCGAGAGACAAGCGCGTCGTCACGATCCGGGCGCACAAGGTTGTCGGCGACTGGTCGCACGGCAATCTGTGGCTCGCGCATCTGTCGATCCGGTCGCAGGATCAGGGTTACCTTACGTTCGCGTGAGGTGCGTCGTCCGCTCTCTCTTCTTCTCTCTCACGGCTCCTTCTCGTCGACGCACGTACTGACTTTCTCCTTCTGCGCAGTCTGTCAGGCGTCGTCGCCTCGACGCAAGCCCTTCGACTCGATCTCCCCCTCGCCGACCGAGTCCTTCCTTCTCGCGCCGACCGAGTCCTTCCTTCTCGCGGCTCGAGCGCCGTTCTCTCCTCGTCTCGTCTTTTGTCTCTCCTCTCGTTCTCTCTTCGTGCATCGCAGAACATTTGTGGGCGAAACTTGTCTAAGTGGCAGTTTTGAGTGCGCGGAGAGGTTGCGAGGGAAGAGAGAGAAAGAGAGAGAGAGAGGGAACGCGAGAGGGAAAGGGGACAGAGCTATCAACGACAGGACGACGACCAGGTGACTGCGAGTAGGAGAGACCAGGAAGGAGAAGCGGGAAGGGAAGGAGAAGGGAGGGGGAAGAGGGGAGCGACGGCGCTCGCGCTCTACTTCTCGGTCGGGCGAAGGATGAGGGCGTCCTCCTCCTCGGGGACGGCGAGGATGCGCATGCTGTTGGTGCTGCCCTGGCCGCCGCGCCATCCCTGGAGCGCGACAATCGTGTCGCCCTTGCGGACGATGCCGAGCTTGAGCGCCTGCTGGCACGAGTGGCGGATGCGGTTGTCGACGTCGGTCTGCCACCCCTCGTTGGTCTCGGGGCGCGGCTGGTTGAAGTACATCGGGTAGACGGCGCGGTGCAGGTGGACCTGGCGCGACGTCTGCTCGTTGCGCGTGACGGTGATGATGGGGCAAGGGGGCTTGTACTTGGACACGAGGCGCGCCGTCTCGCCCGAGGTCGACATGACGATGATGGCGCCCGCGTTCTGCTCGATCGCGGCGGCAACGGCCGCCATGGCCACCGTCTCGGACGTCGGCGTCGGGCGCTGCGCCATCGAGCGGAGCTCGTTGAAGAGCGACGCGTACGAGACGGTCGCCTCGGCGAGGAGGCACGTCTCGGCCATCATCTCGACGGCCTGGATCGGGTACGTGCCCTTGGCCGTCTCGCCCGAGAGCATGACGCAGTCGGCGCCGTCGAGGACGGCGTTGGCGACGTCCGAAACCTCGGCGCGGGTCGGGCGAGGGTTGTACTGCGAGGCGGACAGGGACAAGGAGCGTCAGGACCCTGCACTCGCTCGGCGACACTCGAGGACACGGAGAGAGAGAGAAGGGGACGCACGGTCATCGACTCGAGCATCTGGGTGGCGCAGATGACGGGCTTGCCGGCGAGGTTGCACTTGGCGATCATCATCTTCTGGGCCATGAAGACCTGCGACGCCGGGATCTCGATACCGAGGTCGCCACGGGCGACCATGACGCCGTCCGTCTCGCGCAGGATCTCGTCAAAGTTGGCGACGCCCTGGAGGTTCTCGATCTTGACGATGATCTTGATGTTCTTGCCGGCCTCGCCGAGGTGGGCGCGGATGTCCTGCACGTCCTGGCCGCGGCGGATGAACGACGCAAAGATCATGTCGACGCCGTTCTTGACACCGAACGTCAGGTCGTCCTTGTCCTTCTGCGAGATGGCGGGCAGGTCGACATCGGTGCCAGGGAGGTTGACGCCCTTCTTGCTCGACAGGGTGCCGTTGTTGACGGCCTCGACCTCGAGCTCGTCCTTGCCGACCGAGATGACGTTGAAGGACAGGATGCCGTCGTCGACGTAGATGGGCTTGCCCGGCTGGAGGACGTTGGTGATGTTGGCGTAGTCGAGGTACATGACCTTGTCGTCGCACTTGGTCGCCCACTCCGGGTTGGTCGTGATCTTCATGCGGTGGCCGGCATTGATCTTGATCTGTGGGGGAGAGGAGCGAGAGCGTGAGTCTTGAGGACGCGAGAGAGCGCGAACGAGAGGGACGCACGTCGACGTCGTTGAGCATGTTGCCGGTGCGGATCTCGGGGCCCTTCTGTGCTCGGGGAAGATCGTGTGGGTCAGTGGGAGGTCTCAGAGGGATCAGAATGAGGGAACGCACAGTGTCGAGGGCGATGGCGACCGGGCGGCCGTCAGACGCTGCGAGTCGAGGTTGGCCGAGTCAGTCATGGCGCGCACAGTCGAGAGGGGCACTCGAGAGACGGGACGCACAGGCAACAGCCTTGCGGGTGTTGTCGATGACCGACTGGTGGTACTCGTACGAGCCGTGCGAGAAGTTCATGCGGACTGTCAGGGCGGCGGCAAGTGGGGGGAGCTCGTCAGTTGCCGTCACGCGAGACTTGAGAGAGAGAGCGCGACGCACCGACGTTGACGCCGGCCTCGCGGAGCTTCTGGATCATCTCGGGCGAGTTGGTCTTGGGGCCTGCAGGCGGGAGAAGCGGACCGAGGTCAGTACGAGCTCGAGGGGCCACGGCTCAGGACGACGACGACAGGGACGCACCGATGGTCGCGATGATCGAGGTCTGCAGGCGTCGAGGAGTGGTCAGTGCGGCTCTATCGCAACTTTCCGGTGTTGTGAGGACGAAAGCACAGCCCCCCTCGGCGACGGACGAGCTCTAGTCGGCGTCACTGCTCGTCTGCGCGTCCACCGGGACCTCGCGAGATGGACCCGCCGCTTCACAAAGTCCTCGTGGACCCCTCTGTGCCCGTGCGAGGCCTCGAAGTGGCCGCCCGACGCGTGTTGGGACGAGAGCGAGCGAGATCGATCCCCACTCACCTTGCGGAGCGACTTGTGGTTGAGGCCCTCGGGCGCCGTAGGCGGGATCTGGAGGTTCTGGAGCCATTCGAGCTGCGAGGTGACCTGTGTCGGGCGAAGCGCGCGAGGTACGGGCGAGGCGAGCGAGGCGAGGACGGGATGGGCGGGCGGGAGGAGGCGATAGCGAGGTCAGCGGCTGCGCGCAGTGAGAGGGGGGAGAGAGAGAGGGTGCGCACCTGGTCGAGAGGGAGCATGCTGGGCTGAGTCTGGCTGTGGTGGGAGAGCCGGAGCAGGAGCGAGTGCGGGAGGAGGAGGGGAGGAGAGCAAGTCCAGCTCAACGCTCAACGAGCGCGCGCGACGCCGGCCGGCGGTGCAAGTCGATCTGTCGAGTCTCTGCTTTTCGCCTTTGTCCTGTCCAACTCGCTGTCATGCGCACTCGTCTTTTACGGCCACGCGACCGCAGAGGCGAGAAAGCTCGCGCGCGCGTACGAGCAGCACGTCTCGAGCCCTCGTGTCGCGACCGCGCTACCGCCTCTCGACGCCGCTGAGCCGCTCATAGATCTCGGCACAGAGCCTCGAGCGAGAGCAGGAGCATGCTCGATGAGCTCGCCCTGGCTGAAGAGGGGAGCAGAGTCCTGACGACCGTGCTAACGCGAGGCCAGCAGCGCGCTCGAGCGTGCTCGACGTCGGCGCGTTAGGTCTTGACAGCTGCAACGACAGCTGGGCGGCAACGCGACATCGTTTCCGACGGTATAGAGAGCCGCAGTTGAGCTGAACAGGCCTGAGCGAAGGGCTCGGCGGAGAAGCAGCCAGCCGGAGAGTGCGAGCAGGCGACTGAGCGCTCGATGTCGCCAGATCTTGGCCGGGCGGCTGAGCCCATCGAGCGGTATGACGTCTGCGCTCAGTCGCGACGAGCATAGAGCCCTTGGCCCGACAAGAACGCATCCCTCATCGCTCGCGGGAGCCCAGCTACCGACGACCGTGTCCTGCGCCTGACCACCGCCCCGCGCCAAGCTGAAACCGTCGTGCGGTATCGCTCGATGGTACTCGGTCGCAGTGCACGAGCGCCGAGCACACCGAGGGGCGAGGGAGGGGCGAGGCGGAGAGAAGTAGATGAGGAGGGAGATGAGAAGGAGGCGGCTCACTTGGCGAGTGCGACGGGTCCAAGAGGTCGCAGGCGTGCTGTATGGACAGATTGAGGCGAGATGCGCGGCTTAGGCGACCAGCAAGCGGTGAGTGAGCTGGTCGGGCGAGTGAGAGCGCGAGAGCCACCTCCTCCTCCTCTTCAACCTCGACCTCCTCCCGTCTTCCCGCAGACCGAGAGGCTCACTGTCCCTGCTGACACAGCCACACACCGCTCAACCGCCTTCGGTGCTGCTCTGCCGCCGCGCTGCCCCGGCTACGCGCGGGCGAGGGCCCGGTCTCCTCGCCGACGCTGGATGCGGCGGTGCTGAGCGATCGGGGTCGGGCTCAAGGCGTGCACGCGCACAGCGGCACATGGAGCAGGTCTCGCAGGGCAGCCGGCTTTTGCAGGGCGTTCTGAGGGCGTCCTCGCGTCGGGTACTCGCCCACTCGCCCGGAAGGGGCAGGTCGACGGCGCCGAGTCGACGCGCATCTCGCCGCTTGCGGATGGATGCACTCACGGTGCCGCCGGAGTCGTCCACATGCGCTGTGCGGGGCTCTGAGGATCCCTGGCGGCCGAGCGACGAATGCAGGGACGACGGAGCTTCTCCGCGTCGTTGTTCCTCGTCGGGCCCTTTGCCCGCTGTCCTGGGCGCCCGCTCTTTGCTCTTCTCCTTCTTCCTTGCTGTTGCGCTAGTCTCTTCATCGCTCGACCCTCCCTCGTCTCTTCGCCGCTCGACCACCCAACGGGCAGGTACCGTCGTCGTCGCTGCACCACCTCTTCCTCTCGTCTTTCGCTCGGCCGGCCGACTCTCGACCTCGACACGCCCATGTCGCCCACCCCTATCGCCGCGTTCGCTGCCCAGGTGGCAGCGACTCCGATCTACCCGCATCCGGTCGTCAAGCGCGCCGCCGACGCCGCCGTCTCCAAGGCGCACTCGACCCTGCGGCAGCAGGCCGCCAACCGCGACTTTGCGTCGGCGTACCAGTACATCATCGTCGCCTGCGTCGCCCTCCTCGCCATCCGCAACGTCTTTCGCGTCGTCGCGCGGCACAACCGGGCGTGGCGCCTCGCGCTGCAGAAGCTCGACGCGCTTCAGATGGAGCGCCTCGGCGAGCAGAAGGAGGGCTACGCCGCGCTCGGGCACCGCGCGACGTGGAGCGCCAAGGTCGGCGCCGCCATCTTCTACCCGTTGCGCTCCCGGTGGGCCCTCGGGCTTGAGAACCCGCTCCAGGTCTTCCTCGTCGTCGCGTCGTTCGCCATCAACGTCGGTTTCGTCCTTGTGCGTCCTCGTCCTCTCTCTTGCGTCGACGACCGAGGCACTGACACTTCAACGCGATGCAGGGCGTTACGATGGAGTACGACGGTCCGCAAGAGAGCGTCTGGAACACGATTCACGTCGTCGCCTTGCGCTGCGGCTGGATGTCGATGGCGCAGCTCCCCGCCGTCATCGCCCTCACCGGTAGGAACAGCCTGGTGCAGTTCCTGACGGGCATCGAGTACCAGCACCTGCGGTTCGCGCACAAGCTCACGGCCGCCTGGATGGCCCTCCTCGGCGTCGTCCACACGCTCGACGCGACGTTCGCCAACTTCAAGTACTTTGGCGGCGCCGGCGTCAACTCGCTGTACCTCCACAACTACCTCGGCCAGACCGGCATCGCCATGATCGTCGGCCTGTTCCTCCTGTGCTTCTTCTCGTGGCGCCCGATCCGCATGCGGTGGTACGAGGTCTTCCTCGTCGCGCACGTCGTCGGCGTCATCATGGTTCTCGTCGGCATCATCTACCGTGCGTCCCACTCGCCCCTCTCTATCGCCCGACCAGCGCCCCGCTAACGCTCGGCCCTCTCCTCGACCGCAGACGTCCCCTCGCTCCAGGTCTGGCTCTACGTCCCCCTCGGGTTCTGGATCTTCGAGCGCGTCGCCCGGGCCCTTCAACTCGTCTCGATCGGCCTGCTGTGCAGGCTGCAGTTCCGGGCGCCGCTCGTCAAGGCTCGCGCCACCCTGATCGAGGGCGCCATCGTCCTCCACGTCCCGTTCAAGGGCGAGTGGCACGGTGCGTCATACTCTCGCTCCCTTTTTCCCTTCCGAAGGCAGCACGACTGACTCTACCTCTCACCGCAGCCGGCCAGCACGCGTACCTCTCGTTCTGGGACCCCTCGCTCCTGTCGACGCCGTGGATCTACTTCCAGTCGCACCCGTTCTCGATCTCGAACGTTCCCTCGTGCTCGACCGCCGACGACAAGGGCCGGCGCGACATGCTGTTCGTCATGCGCACGCGCGACGGCATGACCAAGGACCTCGCGCGACGACTCGCCCGGAGCGAGACGGGCGCGGCCGACATCTGGATGACGGTCGAGGGCCCGTACGGCGGCTGCACCGACACGGAGCAGTTCCACGAGATCTTGCTCGTCGCTGGCGGGTCGGGCATCTCGCACATCATGAGCAGTGCGTCCACCTTTCTCTTCCTCGCCCTCGAGTCGACCTTCTCAAGTCGACTCTCCTCCTCTCGTCGGCCCTCTGACCGTTTATGGGTCCTCCCTCACAGTGCTCGCCGACATCCTGCACAAGGCCCGCAACTCGTACTCGCGCGCGACCCGGGTCCGCGTCGTGTGGACGGTCCAGTCGGTCGAACAGTCGGTGTGGACGCTCAAGGAGCTGCTGCACTCGGCCAAGACGGCGTACGAGGCCGGCGTCCAGCTCGAGATCGAGCTGTACGTGACGCGCGGCATGGCGGCTCCCTCGCCCGAGACGGTCGACCTCATGACCAAGGAGCTGCCGGCGCCGCCGACGCTGCAGCAGCGCCGCGCGAGCTACGCGAGCATCAACTCGTACGCCGAGAGCCCGATCGCCGACGCGTTGACCATCCTCCCGGGCCGACCGCACATCGACGTGATCGTGCCGAGGTGGATCGCCAATGCGCAGGGCAAGTCGCTCGTTGTCGGTGCGTCTTCTCTCCTCTCTGACTCCTTCTCTTTCCTTTCGTCCTCTCGGCGAAATAGCGAGCGTGACCTGACCTGTCCTCTCGCCTCGCAGCATGCGGGCCGACGCCCATGGCACAAGCCGTTCGCCTCGAGACGACCAAGTACATCTCGGTGTACCCCGTCTCGCTCGAGATCGCGCTGTTCGAGTGCTAGCCAGCGTCTCTCCCTCTCATTTGTGATTAGCTCCCTTCCTCTCGTCCTCCTGCCGCATCGACCCTCGCATCCCTTAGACGCACCTGTAGCCGCTCTCGAGCCTCTCCTGTAGCATAGCGTGGCTTTCCTCCCTCTCTTCCTCTCGTGACTCGAGAGCTGCCGGAAGGCACTCGTTGCACGCCCCACGCCGCGTTACCCACCGCGCACCAACCGCTCGAGGTCGGCGTACGCGTCCATGCCGCCCGACGAGCCCTTCCCGCGCCCGTCGCCACGCCGCTCGTCCCGCTCGGCCCGCCTGCGGTACTCGTCATCATCCCGGTCCCGACCCCTCCTCCTGTCACCGTACCGGTCGCCCTCGTCATCGTCCCGCCGCCGCCGCTCGCGCTCCCCGTCGTCCGCCTCTCGCCGCCGCTCGTGCCCGTCGCGCCCGTCGCGCCGCCGGCCGTCGTCCCGACTCGCGCCGCGCTCGCTCCTGCGCCCTGCGTCGCTCGCGCTCGGGCGGTCCCGCTCGCTGCGGCCCTCCTCGGAGGCGATGAGCTTCTTGCCGCTGCCGCCGCCGCCGGCGGCCCTGCGCCGCTCGCGCTCCTCGCGCTTCCTCCTGCGCTCTTCCTTCCTCCTGCGCTTCTCCTCCTTGCTCTCTTTGGAATCTGCACCGCCGCCGCCGGACTCGATGCGGCGCTTCTTGGCGGCGCGGCGCTGCTCGATGAGGTAGTCGCGCATGGGGTCGTCGAAGTCGATCGAAGGGTGCGACGAGTCGCTGTCGGCGTCCGAGGCGTCCGAGCCGGGCTGGCGGAACTTGTCGGGGTGAGCGGCGAGGCTGCGCAGGGAGGGGAACGTCAGCTCGCGCGAGGGAGGAGGAAAGGCGGAGAGAGAGCGAGAGGACGGGGACGGACCTGCGCTCCTCGCGCTCCTTCATCTTGCCCGACTCTTGGTCGCGCTCGAGCTGCTTGTAGTTGAGGACGTGGTCGACGCGCAGGGTGCGGCCGAGGACGGTGGCGCCGTTGAGGTTGTCGACGGCGAGGACGGTCGAGCGCTGGTCGGCGTACATGAGCCACGCGAACCCGCGGGGCTTGCCCGTCTGCGGGTCGCGCGGCATGTTGATGTCGACGATCTCGCCGTACCTGCCCGGGTCGAACGCGGGTCAGCGGGTGGTTTCGCCGGGGCAGAGAGGGGGAGAGGGAGGCGGGGACGAACTGGGAGAAGATGGTGATGACGTCGCCCTCTGTGAGGTTTGGCGGAAGGCCGCCGACGTTGACATAGGCCGAGTCCTTGTACTGCACGGGGACACGAGTCAGCTGTGGTTGTCGAGAGAGAGAAAGATGAAGGCGAGGCGGACCTGATCGTGCCACGAGAGGTCGCCCGTCTCGAGGGCATAGTCGTTGATGCGCTTGGTGGCTTGGATCTGGTTCATGGCGGCTCTGGAGCAGGGCTGACTGGCTCACGGACCGTCAGAGCGAGAGCGAGCGGAGCGTGGCCGGTCAACCTCTCTCGGCTGCCGGCTCGTCGTCTGCTCGCTCCTCCATCGACCGCCAGCAGCGAGCCCGACCCTGCTGTGGATCACGAGCACTCGACACCGAGTCGCACGCACCCGGCCTACACCTCGCACCCTCCTCCCCGCTCCGCTCGTGGCTCCCCTCGTCGACCCGTCGAGCGATGCTGCTACGACGACCTTAGCCTCGCCATGTCGTCCGCACTCACGCCCATAGGCGTCCCGACCCACTCGCCGTCCGGCGGCGCCGACGCCCGGCCCCTCACCTTCATCGTCCTCCCGCCGCAAGACGACTCGCTCGACGCTCGTCAACGCCCTTCGCAGGCGCCGTCCTTCTCGGCAGCCGTCACGCGGGCTCTGGCCGGCATGTTCGCCTTCATGTTCAAGCGGCCCATTCGCTTGTTCCGCCCCGTCAAGAGTGCGTCCTCCTCTCTCGTCCTCGCCGTCGAGTGCTGCTCGCTCACTCTCGTCAACCGCACACAGTCTCGACCTGGGCGGGCATCCAGGCCATCGCCGAGGAGCAAGGTCGCTCGGTCACGCCGGGCTTTGTGCGCGGCCTGTTGCGCAAGGAGGGCTGGCGCTTCATTCCCAAGCACATCCTCCCGCCCCTCGCCATCAACGCGTCCATCGGCCTCACCCTCTTCACCTCGTACACCTCCTCCGAGGCCTACCTGTCGGCCCACCTCTTTTCGCCCCTCGCCAAGCTCGTAGTCGTGCCATTCATTTCTGGCTCGGCCGCGGGCGCGGCTCAGTCTCTCCTCTCGGCCCCGCTCGACAACGCCCGCCTCCTCCTCGTCCGCCGTCAGCGCTACCTCCGCCTCGCCCACGCCCAGCACGGCGACGCCCGCAACCCGCGCCTGCGCCGTTCGCGCGCTGCGGGCACCCTCGGCGGCACGCCGTTCCAGTCGTGGTACACCCTCATCCGCGACAGCGTCTTCCAGTCGGCGCGCCGCACGGCGGGGCTCGAACCCGGCGGCGCGACGACGGCGACGGCGGCGACGGCGACGGCGAGTGCGCGCGAGCGCCTCGAGCAAGGGCGTCGGTGGGCGCGGCGAGGCTGGAGCCTCTTCTCGCTGTCGCTCGCCAAGGACGCCCTCGGCTTCGGCGTCTTCTTCGTCATCTTCGAGGTCGGCCGCGAGGGCGCCCGCATCGCCGGCCTGCGCTGGGACGGGATCGACCCGGACCGCGCCGGGATCGGCGACATGGAGGGCGAGACGCTCAAGCAGCGCCGCACCCCGGCCGGGCTCGTCCTCCAGAGCGTCGGCATCCTCGTCAGCGGCGGCGTCGCCGGGTGGATCTTTTCCCTCGTCGCGAGGCCGTTTGAGCGCGTGCGTGGCGCCGTGTTTGAGGGGCGCGCGAGGTGGGCCGAGCGGGACGGGCGGTTGAGGGTCGTCGAGGAGCTTTTGCGCGCTCAGGGCGAGCGGGGCGCAGCAGGGGAAGCAGCGGGAGCGGGAGCGCAGGAGGCGCAGCAGCCGCGTCGAGCGAGGAGGCCGCGCCGCACGTCGGCCGGCGGCGCGAGCGAGCGCCGCGCCAACGAGGTCCTCGGCCCGAAAGGCCGCAAGGGCTTCCGCGTCCGCATCGGCCGCATCCGCACCGTCGCTCGCAGCGCCGCACGGACGCGCCGGCGCCAGGCGCGCCAGGCGGCGAGGGCGCGCGCGGTCCGCGAGCTCGTCGGCGCCGAGGTGCCGGTCGACGCGGCGCTCGAGCGAGCGGCGGCGGCCGTCGTGCGCGGGACTGAGGCGCCTCTGCCGCCGTCGACGCTCGTGGGCGCGTTCCCGCCGAGCGCTGTGCCGCACGAGGAGCGCCTCCCGATGCCGTCGGCGCGCGTGCTCGTCCGCGACGCGTGCCGGCGCTACGGCGCGTCGACGTTCCTCTTTGCGCCGCGGGCGACGCTCCAGGAGCTTGACGCGCGCTCGTCCAAGCCGTCGCCGTCGCCGTCACCGCTGGCCAAGCCGCTCCCGACGCGGCCGGTCAAGGTTGGGCCGACGAGGCTGAGCGCGAGGGGCAGGGAGGCGGCCGAGGCGGTCAAGCGTCAGGCGAGCGGCGGTGGATGGCGCAAGGGCGCGAGAATCCTCACCTATAGTGCGTCGCTCTCTTTCTCTCTCTGTGTCGCTTTCGAGGGCCGTGGAGCGAGGACGTCCTGACCTCGTTGCGCCCTTCCTCCCTCCTCTCTTCCCCTCCCTTGCAGTTCCGCCGTACGCGATCGGCTTCTTCGTCTACGCCGTGACGGCAGGAGATCTCAAAATTGAGGTGTAGACGATGTGCGGCAGAGGCGGCAGCTTGTAGAGCAGGCGAGGAGGAGGTCGAGAGCGAGTGAAACTCGCGTTGCGGTTCGCGCCCGCCTCGGTTTTCTCGTACTCGACGTGTCGTTTTAGCGAGCCTTGCGAGAGTCCAAGCCCGTCTGCAACCGCTGTCGACTCGTCGGCGTCGTCCTGGACCCCCACTTTCGCACGCTCCTCCTCTTGCTCCTCCACCCCTCCCTCGCTACCGACGCGAGGATGAGTGCTCGCGCGCGCTCGGCTCGCAAGAGCACGGCGAGCACGTTTAGCTACGCCGAGCCGCCCTCGAGCGGCGACGAGGACGAGGACGACGAGTTGAGCGAGTCGGGGCGCGGCGGGGGAGGAGGGCGCAACAGCAAGGCCAAAGGTGCGTGGGCCTGCGGGACTGCCTCGAGTGCATCACACTGACTCTACTCGACCCCCTGCAGGTCCGACCAAGCGCGCCAAGGGCAAGGCCAAGGCGGTCGAGGTCGACGACGGCGACGAGGGCGATGAAGACGTCCAGCCGCGCAAGAAGGCTCGCGGGCCGGCCAAGGGCAAGCAGCGCAAGCAGAACAAGGTCAAGGGCCAGCTCGAGGCGCTCAAGCAGCTCCCTGTCGAGATGATCACCGAGGTGCGCTCACCTCCTTCTCCCCCTCCTCGTCCCGGTCTCTCCGAGCTGACCTTGCCCGCCTCGCCCGCGCAGATCTTCTCGCACCTCGACCCGGAAGACCTCCTCATCCTCAGCATGGTCAACAAGCAGTACCGCTCGCTCCTCCTCGCCAAGTCGTCGGCTCGCCTGTGGAAAACGGCGCGCGCTCGACTCGACCTGCCCGACTGGACGACCGGCGGCTTCACCGAGTGGCAGTACGCCCAGCTCGCGTTCGGCAAGAAGTGCCAGGTGCGTCCCCTTCTGCCTCTTCCGTCGTCCTGAGCGGGCAAAGCTGACCTCGTTCGCGAACGCAGGAGTGCGGCACCACCAAGGCGGCTCGTCCCGATTACGGCATCCGCAAGCGGCTCTGCAAGGTCTGCCGCATGTCTGGGTCCGTCTTTCTCTCCTACTCGATCTACGCAGCCGAGCACTCACGCTGCCTGAGCCCTGCAGAATGCTCCGCCTCAACTGGAAGAAGCACCGCATCTCGGGCATCCACCCGCTCGCGCACCAGTGCATCCTGCGCCCACTTCGTGCGTCCACGCTCTCTCTCAGGTGTCTAACAGTCATTGACCACGGCTCCTCTCTGGCGCGCAGACACGCCCGCCGAGCTCAACTGGCTCGCCACCGCGCGTTCGTCCCCCTTTCGCCGTATCTTTTGGAAATCCGGCTGACTCGACCCCCGTACCGCAGCGCACGCACTCGAAGTCGACCTGCGCTACTGGAGCGGCAAGCTGTGGGAGCTCGAGGACGACGCCGCCGATACCGACGCGTCCGAGAGCGACAACGAGCAGCCGGCGACGACGTCGACTTCCTCAGCCGCACCCGCCGCCCGTTCGACCCGCAGCACCCGCACCTCAACGCTCCCGTCGTACAAGGAGGACTCGTCCGACGACGAGGACCCTGTCTCGAAGGACCCGTCGCGCCGAGTCGTCGCCTTTGTCGCCGCTCGTCAGCCTTTCCTGGACAAGATCGAGGAGGTGCGTCCCGTTTCTCCTCCTCTCTTGCATTTTCCTTCTCCTTTACGAAGAGCTGACACACTCACCCTCTCGCAGGAGGGCAAGGACGTGTTCTACGCGAGCAAGAACCTGCGCGAGAAGATCCGCGCCCGCAAGGTCGAGCACGTCTCGTTCGACGACCGCATGGCGCAGCTCGATCGTGCCGAGGAGTGCGTCCCCTTCACGACATTATAGTCGACGAGCGCCAACACTGATCTGCCCTTCTGTCCACAGAATCGCCGACAAGGTCCTCGAATTCGATCCGAAGTATGGCAGCTGCGTGTGCGCCTCCTTCCTCACTCCTCCTCTTCCCTGAGCATGATCCTGACGCACTCGACCTGCAGCGAGGACCCGGCGTTCAGCAGCCACAAGCTTGTCAAGCTCGAGGAGCCGTTGACCGACCCCGGTGCGCCCACCTCTCTCGCTGTTTTCTCCCGCGCATGCGCCCGAACTTACCTCGTCTTGCCACCTCACAGAGTGGGGGCGCATCAAACCCGACATCCTCAAGCTCGTCGAGCGCATCAAGAAGAAGCAGGACCGCGACGCGATGCACCTCCGCCTCCTGGACCGCCAGCGCTCGCTCCGCCCTCGGTACGACAAGCTCAAGAAGGCCCTGCCGCCGAGCGCTCGGCCGTTCGTGCCCCTCTTCATCGACTTTCTCGTCCTGTCGTCGGTCAAGGCGCTGTGGCAAGACGAGACGATCAAGCTCGACGACGCCGCGTGGTACGAGCGCCTCGACGACATCAAGGACGAGCTCGACCAGTACCGCCTCGACCTCGTGCTTCACGCTCGCGAGATCGTCGTCGCCGCTCGTGTCGACCCGGACGACGAGGTGTCGGCGCCGGAACAGCAAGACGACGTCGAGGACCTCGACCTCTGCGACGAGGTCTTCTACCTCGCGACGTCGTTCGTCTGCTGCGCGTTCACCGACTGCGACCGCACGCCGGTCGGTCCTGGTCGCACGCACGCCGACCGCGTCAAAGATGTCATCGGCCCGCTCCGCCGAGTCCTCGACCACCAGCACGAGTGGCACAACCAGGCCGACTCGCTCGCCGGCCCGAGATCCTTCAACAACATGGCGCAGCTCCGCATCGCTCTCCCGCTCGAGGTCGCCTGCGCCATCGACGCCCTGATCGACCTCGCCAAGCTCGATCCGGCCGACGCGACTCGCGACGACTTTGTCCGGTTCAACAAGCTCGTCGTGCGGTACGAGTGGGAGAACTCGGGCGCGTCGTGGAAGCGCCACCAGTGGAACTACTGCGGCGTGTTCTCAGAGAGGCAAGGCTGGGAGGAGCTCGTGCGTCCTCGCCCTCCCTCTCGCTCCCAAGCCTCAAGTGGTCGAGCCCACTGACTTGCCCATCTCGAGCAGTTCCTCGTCATGAAGCTCGAGGCCCAGCGCGCCGCCGCCGCCAAACCTCCCTACTCGATCGACCCGCCTGTCCTCGTCTGCCAGCTCTCGGACCGCCGCGACTGGGACAAGCTGCCGCTCTCCAAGACGCCGCCCAAGCCCACCAACAAGAAGAAGCGCCCGCCGCCATCGAGCGACGACAGCGACAGCGACGACGACGACTTCATGGCCCTGTACCGCAACGTCTTCAAGCACGTCAAGGACGAGGAGGTGGACGAGTTGGCGAGCGACGGCGCGGAGGAGACGGCCAACTTCGGCAGGCGGGTCGTGCACGACAGCGAGGACGACGACGAGGGCGAGGACGAGGACGACTGAGAGAGGAGCCGCTTGTGTAGCTTGAGTAGCTTGCCGCTTGTCGCGTGGAACGCGCCGCTTTGCCTGCGAGTCGAAGCCGTCGAAGGTCGAGGTCGAAGCGTGCGAGCGGGGTCGAATCTCTCTCGCTCTCGGTGCTCTCTCTTTTCGGGCGAGATCGTGTGCACTACTGCTCCTCGTTGCACGGTGTCCAAAGAGAACGAAAGCGAGGTCAAGAGCGAGTCGGTCGCTGCACCGAGGTCACTCGACCTTGACGTCCTCTCGGTTCGCTCGTCCGCCCTCCCTCACGCTGCCACGCTCCCGCCCGTGCATCGAAGACGCACCATGCCCGCCCATCGCAGCTCCTCCAGCACCAGCACGGCCTCGCGCGCCCCGCCGTCGCCCTTGCGAGGGCCCCGCCTCGAGTTCATCAGCCCCGAGCCGGTGGTCGCCATCCCAGCCTACCCGAGCTTCAAGGACCGCCTGAGCGCCACCGACACCTGGACCAAGCCCTCTCCCGCCCCTGCTGGCCGGCCCACGCCCGCCCTGCAGCCTCTCCCCCGCGCCGGCTCCTCCTCGTCCGCCTCGCGCACCGCCTCGACTTCCCTCACGCCCTCGCTCTCGCCCGCGCCGCGCGCCCACTCGTCCCGCTCGACCACCACCCCTCGCACCCACCCGTACCAGCGCGCGCGCTCCAACTCGACCTCGAGCTCGGCGACGGCCTCGAGCGGCGCGAGCACCAGCACCGCCCCGCAGCTCCAGGCCGCTCAGGCGGCGGCGGTGCGCGCTGCGCTCCAGCACGGGCGGCTCGACGCCAACTCGTACACGGACGGGCAGCTGTACGCGATCCGCGAGGGCGCAGCGCGGGCGTTTGCGCGTCGCGGCGGCGGCGGAGGAGGGGGAGGACGAGGCGAGGTCGAGGGTCAGGCGCAGGCGCGGGGCGAGGGCGGCAAGAAGCGCAAGAGGCGGGGGGCGGGCATCGAGGGAGGGAGGGAGGGGTCGTCAAGGCGGTCAAGGTGCGGCGGTCGGAGAGCTGTGCGGTCGATGGCGAGGGGAGCGAGGACGAGGGCGAGGTGCCGGTCAAGGTCGAGGTGGACCTGCGCAGGATGCTCGGCATGTGAGGGAGGGAGGGTTCGTCTGGTTGTGCAGTCGAAGCTTTTTGAGAGTTGTCTGTCCTCGGTGTCGACGACGAGAGAGACGGCCGCGAGTCCGCGCGACCACGGTCGACGCCTCCTCGGGGTGCTTGCCTCGACGCCTCTTTCTCGCCGCCACACTGCTGTGCAAGTCGCGAAAGCGCTGCACTACCGCTGTGCATGAACGACCGACAGCAGGACGAGCTCTTGGCTCTCCAGGTGCGCTCAGCGCCCTTTCCCCTCATCGCTCGCCTCGACCCCACACTCGCCGCCGTGAGCTGACCCACCGCGCCCGCCACAGGCCATCTACCCGGACGCCGTCTCGTGGGAGCTCTTGTCGGGCAACGAGGTCCAGGTTGCCGTCGTCCTGCCTGTCGAGTTCGACCAGGACCGCGAGCTCGAGGTCTGGGATCACCAAGCACCGGTGGCGAGCGGGTCCAAAACGCCGATCGACAATCTCGCCGCCCAGTTGCGCGACACGTCCCTTGTCGAGCACCCGAGCGCGACCGCGCCGAGCCAGGGCGCGAGCAAGGGCCGGCGAGGTCGAGGCGGCAAGGGCGTCGGGCGAGAGCCGGCGGGACCTGCGTCAGCTCCTGCACGACGAGGCGGGCCCGCATCGGCGCAGCTCGAGCCGACAGCGACGACCTTTGAGCCGCGACGCGCAGCGGCCAAGGTGCCCGTCGAGCACGACGCACCGGCCCGTTCACCTCCTCCTCCTCCGCCAAAAGCGCCCTCTTCCCTCCCGCCCATCTCTTCGACCGGCACGCCCCGCATCCGTTTCACCCCTCGAGCACCCGACGCTCCTGTCACACCCGTCGCTGTCCCGAGCGCCGCGGCTCGACCTGTCGCCACGCCGGCGAACCCTCGTCGACTCGCGGTGCGGTACCTGCCGCCCTTGCGCCTGTCGATCCGCCTACCTGTCGGCTATCCCGAGTCGGAGGGCCCGTCGGAGATTGCGCTCAGGGAGGACGTCGGGTGGCTCGGCGAGGAGCGAAAGGGCAGGGTCGAGCAAAAGCTCCGAGACGGTGCGTCCCACTATCCCCTCTCGGCGCGCGCACAGAGCAGTACCAGGTCTGACGCTCTACTGCACAGTCTACGCCGGCGACGAGTGTCTGTTCGGCATCATGGACCTTGTCTCGTCGACCTCGCCCGACTTTGCCGCCACCCTGAACCTCTCTTTCCCCCTCGTCCTCCGCCAGGCGCCGCCGCCCTCCTCCGCCTCGACCGCCCCTCTCTCGACGACCCTGTCCGCCTTCAACCTCGCCGCGTCAGACACGACGTTCGCGACCACGTCGCACCTGTGCCCGTTGTGCTTCTCGTCGCACCGCGGCAGCGCCTGCATCCGCCTCGCGTCGTGCGGCTGCGTCTTCTGCACGCCGTGCCTCAAGGACTACTTCGACCTCCTCATCACCGAGGGCCTCGTGCGCTCGGTCGCGTGCCCGAGCGAGGGGTGCGTCGCGGCGAGGGCGAGGTGGGAGAAGGAGGTCGGGCCGAGGGGCGAGGCCGAGAGGGAGATGGAGCGGCCAGGGAGGCTCGTCGGCGACGAGGTCGAGCGCCTGTGCGGCGTCGAGAAGCGGCAGAGGTGGGAGTGGCTCAAGGAGAAGGTCCGTGTCGAGAGCGGTGCGTCCTTGTTTCTCCTTTCTCCTCCTCCTCGAGACGGTCCTTCCGCGACGAGGAGCTCACTCATTCGCCCCGCAGACCCGTCCATCACGTTCTGCCCGCGCGAGAGCTGTCAGGCGCCGGTGCCCAAGCTGTCCGAGGACGAGGAGAAGCTGCGCGTCTGTCCGGCCTGCGTGCGTCCCTCTTCTCTCCCTTCTCGCCGGTCCCACAACTTTCGAGCCTGACCCTCGCCCCATCTTTACCGTCACGCTCGCAGAGCTTCAGCTTCTGCCAGTTCTGCAAGAGCTCGTGGCACGGCTCGCGCAACGCGTGCGCGCTCCCCCAATCCTCGACGATCGTCTCGTCGTACCTCGACGGCGATGACGTGGTGCGGCGCACGCTCGAGGCGCGGTACGGCGTCGCCAACATCAAGCGCCTCGTCGCCGCGTTCGAGGAGGAGCGCGCCCTGCGCGAGTGGCTCGACGCCAACGCGACCGAGTGCCCTGGCTGCGGCGCGTGGGTCAACAAGAGCGGCGGGTGCAGCCACATGACGTGCACCAAGTGCCAGGCCCACTTTTGCTACCGCTGCGGTCAGGTGCGTCCTACCTTTCTCCTTCTCTCGTCGACACGAGCCGTGCACTGACCCTTTCTTTCCCTTGCGCCCTCAGTCTCTCCGCCCGACCGACCCCTACCGCCACTACAACACGCCTGGCGGCAGATGCTACGGGAAATTGTTCGAGTTCATGCCTGGCCAGGAGCCGCCGGTCGAGGAGTGGATCGGCGCGCTCGTCGAGGAGGACGAGCTGGCGGGATTATAGACGTCGTCGGATCTTGTTCCTCTTATCCCCTACATTCATCTACTTGTTGCATTGTCACCCTGTTGCGCATCTTCACGCTGTCGAGACCGTCGTTAACCCGCAGAAAGTCGGAGACAGGCCGACGAGCCGGTTTGCCTCTTCGCCTCCTCCCTCGTCGGCTGCCCCTTGGCTAAGTTTGCCTCCTCTACCGCTTTGGTGCCTCTGCGCGCCTGCGCTGCGCACGCGAGGCGGCAGGGCAGCAGCCTCCTTCGCAGCCTCGGAGCCCGCTTGGCCTCTCTTCGACCCTCCGTCGTCATCTGCTCGGCATCTCGCTCGCAGCGAGCCACGGCGAGACGCTCGCTGCTACGCCTCTTGCCTCTCGACCACGACCCTCTCGCTGCTACATCGAGCCCGCGACCGCCGACCTGAATGGCCTCGCCCACGACCGACCGCTCCTCCCCACCCGTCTCTTCCGCCGGCGCCCACAACACGATCCCTCCCACCTCGACCGTCACGCACGACACGGGCGCGAGCGCGCATGCGGGCTCGACGATCGGCGCCAAGCTGTCTGGCGCAGCCGAGGAGGTCAGGGGCAAGGTGGGCGGGGACGCGGGCGCGGTCGACGAGGGGAGAAGGCGGCGGCAGGGGGCGGGGCTGCGCAAGGAGGACGACAAGTGAGGTGTGAGCAGGCGCTCTCGTGGAGGAGACCGCCTTCGAGCGGCAGCAACAGGAGGTGCGCACCCTCTCTCACGGTCGAGCCTCGCATGACGAGTCGGTGGCTGACTTTCTCTCCTTTCTCTCCCTCGCCTCGCAGTTAATCCGGCCCATCCGACATTCGCCTGCGTCCCGGCGACGACGTGCACTTGTACAACGACCGACGGCGGCGGGCCCGCCGCTCTGATGCCGCCGCCGACCTCGACCAACCTCCTCGTCGAGCGTCGCGTCCGCTTTCCCGCCTGTACCTCCCCGCATCTGGGTCGCTCGGCAGGCGGCACACTCGTTCGTACAACTACATGCGCCTGAGCTGGAATCAAGTCACGCAGTCAAGGACCAACCGCTGAGCGAGAGAGAGAGCTGCGGTTCGAGTCGGCGCCGCGCTCGACCTTCCCTCAGACGCTCGCCCTCGAGCGTGTAGATTGCGCAAACAGCTCGTACGCCGCCGCGAGAGACGCGCGTGCAGTTCGAAGGACATCGGAATTGAGCCGTGTCTTGGCCGTCGTCGAGGCGCGACCAGCTCGAGGCGGTTCGCTCTCGTCGCACCGCACCGGCGAGCTACTGTTCCTGCCCATACTCGCCGCATGGAGCCAGAGAATACCTAGCGCCCGCCAGCAACCGCCCACGCGCTCCCTCCGCCGCGCCTCATCATCGCCGACAACATGCCGTCCCCGTCGCTCTCGCCGCAGTACCCGCCGAGGGATCCCATGCTGCGCCAGAAGTCGCGTACACCCCTCCTCGGTCAGCCCGACGCGCCTGCGCTCCCCCAGTACACCGACGACGACTCGCCCTCGCCCACCTCCCCGCTCCTCGACCCGGCGCGCGAGTCGACCGCCCCTGCGGGCGGCGACGGCGACGATGAGGGCGCGCCGACACCGCTCGACGCGACGCTCGAGGAGGTCGGCATGGGCACGTACCAGTGGCGCCTGTTCGTCCTGTGCGGGTGCTCGTGGTGGAGCGACAACGCGTGGCTGCAGTGCATGGCCGTCATCCTGCCGCGCGTTCAGCAGCATTGGGACATCAGCGACCGGTGGATCGGCCTCTTGTCGACGAGCCTCTTTGCCGGCATGATGGTGCGTCCCGCCGTCTCTCCCTTCCCTCCTCCGCTTCCCTCTCCCCCTCGCCCGACTCGCGTTCTGACGCTCGCATCACCGCAAACAGGTCGGCGCATGGGGCTGGGGCAGCTGTGCGTCCCGCATCGTCGCCCCTGTCAGACTCTCGCGATCGCTAACGAGCGTCGTCCCCCGCAGATTCGGACGCCTACGGTCGAGTGCCCGCCTTTCACCTCACGTTCTGCTTCAGCGCCGTCTTTGGCACCGCATCCGCCTTTGCGCCCACCTTTGGGTGGCTCTGCTTTGCCCTCTTCTGCCTCGGTACCGGCGTCGGCGGCTCGATGCCGACAGACGGAACTTTGTGCGTCCCACCTCCGCTTTCGTTACCTCGTGTCGAGTCGAGCACTGACTCTCGCACGCGCAGATTCCTCGAGAACACGCCCAAGACCAAGCACTATCTCCTCACCGCCCTCTCGGTCTTGTGCGTCCCCTCGCCCGTCCCTCGCGCTCGAGGTGCGCGCCGCTGACTCCCTTCCTCACGCAGCTTCTCCCTCGGCGCCATCTTCACCTCGATCCTCGGCCTCGTCATCCTGCCGCCCTTTTCCTGTGCGCCCAATGCGGGCAAGGGCGACACGCCGGCGTGCGACGTCAAGGTCGAGAACAACGGCTGGCGCTACATGCTCGGCGCGCTCGGACTCGTCGTAAGCTCAGCCTCTCCCTCTTGCCGGACCTTCTTGTGCACAGGCTCACTCTTCTATCCCTGCAGAGCATCGTCATGTTCCTCGGCCGAGTCCTCTTGTTCCGTCTGCACGAGTCGCCCAAGTTCCTCGTTGCGTCGAACCGCCCGTCGGCCGCCGTCATCATCCTCCAGAAAATCTCGCGCCTCAACGGCGACAACAAGTCGTTTGTCTTGAGCGACGTCGTCGACGCTGCAGGCGCCGCTGCCGAGGCGCCCGAGGAGGTCGCCGCCGCGCAGGCCGACTCGGACCCGCCCGCCGACGACTCGGACGTGCCGCCGCGACGACCCGCTCGGACCGACAGCGACAACATCCCGTCGCCGTCGTCGCTCGGCGAGGACGCCGAGGAGGACCTCGTCGCGTTCGCGCTCCCGCCGTCGTACGTCTCGCAGAGCGTGCGGCGGCACCGCTCGACCCGCCCGGCATGGATAGACTGCCTGCCGCGAGGCTGGCGCGAGGGCGTCGACGAGTACGTCGCGCGCATGGAGGACCTGCTCGAGCCCAAGTGGCGCCGGACGACGCTCCTCGTGTGGGCGATCTGGGCCCTCGCGGCGGCGGGCTACACTGTGCGTCCCGCGCTCCCTCATGTCCTGCCCGAGCCGGACCTGATCCCTCTCTTTCTCGCGCAGATCTTCAACGTGTTTCTGCCCAAGTTCCTCGAGGCCAAGCTCTCGCACGAGGGCTCGCCGTCGGCCGAGGCGACGCAGGAGGAGACCTTGCGCGACTGTGCGTCTCTCGCTCTACCTCCCCTCCTCTCCTCACCGCGCACTGACCCGCCTGCGACCACCGCAGACGTCCTTTACACCGTCTCGGGCCTGCCTGGCTCGCTCCTCGGCGCCTACCTCGTCGAGACGTCGCTCGGCCGCGCGAAAACGCTCGCCTTCTCGACCCTCGCCACCTCGGCGGCGACGTTCGTCTTTGTGTTTGTCTCGAGTCGCACGGGCGTCGTCCTCAGCAGCATGGTCGTGTCGCTCGCCGCCACCCTCATGTGTGCGTCCCTCCTCCCTCGTCGTCGTCGCGAGCGCGCCAACCTGACGACTTTCCTCGCGCAGACGCCGTCATCTACAGCCTCACGCCCGAGATCTTCCCCGTCACGAAGCGGTGCGTCCAGCTCTCCCTTTGTCTCTCCTACAGAGCGAGACTGACCATCTCGTCCCTCGCAGCGGCACCGCCACCGGTATCGCCTCGGCCGTCTCTCGCCTTGCCGGCCTCCTCTCGCCCCTCCTCACCGGCGCCCTCCTCGCCGCCCTCGAGGGCTTCACCGTCCCGCTCCTCCTGTCTGCGGCCTGCTTCGGCGCGACGGCCGTGTGCGCGTGGGGCCTGAGAGGCGCCGAGCAAAGGATGCTCGGGTCGGGGAGGAGGAACGGCGCAGGGTTCGCGCACTGAGTCGCCGTGCACATAGAGTGTTGTGTCTCCTCCTTTCGCTCGTCGACTGAGAGACGAGCTCAGTGAGGGTCAGAGAGGGACGAGCAAGCGCTCGAACCTGCGCCCTTTCAAAGAGAGCAGCGAAAGCGAGATGTTGGCGGCCGAGTAGAGGAGGAAGACAAGCGCGAGGTGGAGCTCTCCCTGCCTCATCCTCGCGGGCTCGTCCCTCGCGACACGACCACGCCCAGTTCAGCTTGACCACCCACACGGCACGCTCTCTCGCCAACAGCGCGAGCCGCTCCCTCGACTCGCCAAACCTCCCCCGCTCCGCCGCACAACCCGGCTCGTCGCCGCGCTCGTTCACCATGGAGGAGCCAGGCGAGGTGCAGGAGCGCGAGATCGAGGTGCTGCAAGGTGCGCCGGACCTGTTCCACCTCGTCCCCCTCTCTCGCGCACCTCGAGCTAATCCTCATCTCTCAACCGTCAGCGATCTACGGCGACGAGTTCCAGAAGGCCGAGAGCCGCACGGCATGGAAGGTGAGTCCTCTATAGAGGCCGTGCATGCGAGCCGACCTGACCTGGCGCTCCCTGCAGACCGTCAACGCGGCCCACGAGTTTCGCGTGTGCGTGCGGCCTGTCGAGGAGGACCTCAAGGACAAGGTGCAGGTCTGGCTCCGCTTCAAGTGCGTCCGTCCTGTCCGTCCTCTTCTGGCGGGCGCGCACTGACCGTCCTTACCTGGCAGGCTTCCTCAGCGCTACCCCAAGATCGCGCCGACCATGACCCTCGAGGAGCCCAAAGGCCTTTCTCCTCAGCACCTCTCGCACCTGGTGCGCCCGTCACGTCCCCTTCTTTCGCTCCCGACCGTCGAAGCTGACCCTCGCGCCCCGACAGCTCTCGACCCTGCAACGCGCCGCCTCGTCTCGCCTCGGCGACGAGATGTGCTACGACCTGTGCTCGCAAGCCGCCGCCTACATCACCGAGCGCCACATCGACTCGGTCCGTGGCGTCCAGCCGAGCCTCGAGGACCAGCGTCGAAAACGAGGCGAGGAGCAGGCCAAGGTGCGCCCGCGCTGCCCAGCCCCTGGACCCGTGCGACGAGCAGACCCTGACCTCGCCGCGCACAACAGGCGACAGAAGAAGCTCAACGACGTGCCGAGACGCTCAAGGAGCAGCGCGAGGCCGAGGAGGCGGCGCGCCTGTCGATGCTCATCTCGGAGGACGTGCGCCGCAAGGAGGAGCTGCGACTCGAGCGCGAGCGGCGCGAGCGCGAGTTGGACCGCGAGCGCGAGACGGCGCTTCTCGAGGTGGACTCGAACGGCGAGAAGCGGGTCCGCATGCCGTTGGCGCTGTCGAGGGGCGAGGCCAAGGCCGAGGTGACGGTGCGCTTTGGCTTCCCGACCGCTGGCGGTGCGTCCTCCTCCGCCTCTCGTCTCGCGTTCCCCTCGAGCACTTTCTCACGCTCGTTATCTGCCACAGACTGGCTCGGCCGCATCTTCTCTGCCGAGATCATCCCGGATGGCCAAGCGCCTCAACCTGCGAGCGCCTACGTCGTCGAGGTCCTCGCGCCCTACTTCCTCACGTCGCAAGGTGCGTCCCGCCCTGTCCTTCTCTCTCGCGACCACATCGAGATTGACGATTTCCCTACGCACAGGCAAGCGCAAGCTCAGCAAGATCGAGGCCGACCTCGACCGCATCCACTCGCTCCAGCACCCGCACGTCCTCCCGATCACGGCCTACCGCATCGTTCGCTACTCGCCGTCCTTCTTCCCACCCAACTCTCAAGCCCAACGCGCCATCCGCTCTGGCGAGGGCTGGACCGTCCTCATCGCCGCGCCGCCCATCCGCTCGCCCTCGCTCGAACGCCTCCTCTCGACCGTCGGCGAGCTCCGACCCGACCGCGCCCTCGGCTACTTCGCCCAACTCGTCTCGGCCGTCGAGTACCTGCACGCGCACAACGTCGTCCACCGCGCCATCAAGCCCAAGGCCGTCTTCATCGCGAGTGACGAGGGCCAGGCCGACGGCTCGGGCGACGCGGGCGGCGTTCAGCTCTCGGGCGCCGGCTGGTACCGCCGCCTCATCGACCTCAACAAGGCCGAGCCGTGGCTCGTGCAGCCTGCCGACGACGACCTGCCCGACAGCTGGTGCGCCCCATCGTCCTCGTCTTGTTCAGCCTCGTCACAACCTCGCACTGACCCCGAGCCCGTCCCTGCAGGACCTGTCCCGAAGCGCTCGCGGCCCCGTTCACGTACGACCGGTCGCGCGACATGTACGAGCTCGGCGTCGTGCTCGCTCAGATGGTGTTTGGCCTGGACGTCGTCCGCAAGTACGGCTCGCCCGCCGAGCTCGTCCGCTCTAGTCCGCCCAGTCTTCCTTGACCTCCTCCTCGACGATCAACTCACCAAGCTCGTGCGTCCGCAGTACCTCGTTCTGCATCGAGCGTCCTCAAGCGCGTCCTGTCCGACCTCCTGCTCACCGAGGGCAAGAAGCGGCCGACGGCGTCTCGACTCGCCGCCCAACTCGCCGAGAGCAGCAGCAGCAGCACCCGGCACGGTCCTCTCGCCCTGTCGACGACGCCGCCCAACGCGCTCAGCGCGTGGAACCAGCTGCACGACGGGCACAAGGCGCTCACGCCGCTCGTCTCGCCGCCGCCGACCCAGCTCTCGAGGAGCGTCGAGGGCCCGAGCGGCTTCTTCTGGCAGCCGAGATCGTCCGTGTCGCGGTATCGGGCCGAGTTCGAGGAGCTCGAGTTTCTCGGTCGCGGCGGCGGTGGCCAGGTCGTCAAGGCGCGCAATCGGCTCGACGGCCACCTGTACGCGATCAAGAAGATTCGCCTCCCGAGCGACAAGGCGAGCGAGGCCAAGCTACTACGCGAGGTCACGATTTGGTGCGTCCCCTCCTCCTGAACCTGCGCATGAGCCCAGCCTGACCTGGCTCCTGGTTGCAGGTCGCGCATGAACCACCCCAAGTCCGTCCCCTCTCCTTCCTCCTTCCTCGCCGTCGTCGAGACTGACTGATCTCTCGCCTCGCGCAGCATCGTCCGCTACCACACGTCCTGGACCGAGATTGACGAGTCGTTCTCGGGCTTTGGCGGCGAGCGATCGGCCGGCCCGCACGGCCAGACCGGCACGACCGACTCGCTCGTGACGACCGAGGCGTCGACGGAGGACGCCTCTTCGGACGACTCGGACGCGACCGACAGCGTCGTCGACTTTGACGAGGACTCGTCGCCGGGCGCCGACCTCGACATGGACTTTGGCGGCCCAGGCGACGACGACCTCGACTTCCTGTCGGTCGGCCACGCCCAGTCGCACAGCGTCTCGTACCCGAGCATCCACTTCGGCAACGAGGACGACCCGTCTCGCGCCGGGTCCGAGGAGAGCAGCAGCCCCGTTATTTCGAAACACGGCTTTTCCAAGAAGGCGCCGACGCAGCCTGCGACCGCGGCGAGCACGCCCAAGCAGACCCGCACGCTCTACATTCAGGTGCGTCCCGCTCCACTGCCCCTTTCGTGAGCATCCCTGACCGTTTCGTCCCCTCAGATGGAGTACGTCGAGAAGCTCACCCTGCGCGAGACGATCGAGGACGGCTTGAGCGAGGTCGACTCGTGGCGTCTACTCGTACGTCCTGCTCGTCGATCTCACTGGCGAGCGTCCACTGACATCGAGCCCTCCCCCACCAGTTCCAGATCCTGTCGGCCATGCTTCACTTCACCTCGCTCAACATCCTCCACCGCGACCTCAAGCCGTCTAACATCTTCATCGACGTCAAGGGCGACGTGCGCATCGGCGACTTTGGCCTTGCCGTCAACGAGGGCGGCACCGAGTCGGCCGACGTCTACCTCAGCATCGAGAACTCGATGGACGAGTCGGACCTCACGTCGGGTGCGTCCCCTCTCTTCCGTCTTCTCGAACGGTCTCGTGACCCTGACAACCCTCCTTCTGTGTGCTGCAGGCGTCGGCACGTCGCTGTACATCGCGCCCGAGATGATGCAGCGAGGGAGGCTCGAGCGCGCCGTCAAGTACAGCAACAAGATCGACAGTACGCCCTCGCCCTCTCTCTCTCTTTCGCCTCCTCGTCATCGGCGACGAGCTGACGACAACCCCCGACTGCAGTGTACTCGCTCGGCATCGTCTTCTTCGAGATGTGGCACCCGTTCAAGACCGGCATGGAGCGCATTCAGGTCCGTCTCTCGCCGCCTGAGCTCTGCCGCACACGCTCGGTCGCTCACCCTCTCGCTCGCGCACACAGGTCCTGCACGACTTGCGGCGGCCCGAGATCATCTTCCCGCCAACCTGGGACAAGATCAAGCTTGCTCGCCACACCAAGATCGTCCAGGCGTGCCTCACGCACAACCCCGAGCTGCGCCCGTCGCCCAAGGACCTCCTGAGCTCCGACCTGCTGCCGCCACGCGTCGGCGACGACTCGATCGAGGAGACGATCCGCCTCCTGTCGCAGTCGGGCACGACCCACGCCCAGACGCTCATCTCGGCCCTGTTCAACCAGTCGGACGAGGACCGCATGCGCAAGGACTACTCGTACGACTTTTACGATGGCCAAGGTGTACGTCCCTCGCTCGAGCGGACTGTCGTCGTCGCCCCGACCGGACCTGACCTGACCTGACGTTCCTCCGCAGGCCAAGGTCGACAACGACCCGTACGCTCAACTCGTGCACGACAGACTCAGCCGCATCTTCCGACAAAAGGGCGCCGTGCAGATGGACAGCCCGCTCCTCATGCCGCACTCGCAGATCTACGCTTCGCGCAAACCCGTCCGCCTACTCGACGCCGACGGCACCATCGTCTGCCTCCCCTTCCAGCTCAACATCCCGTTCTGTGCGTCGCGCCCTCTTTCCCTCGCCCCCTCGTACGGGTACGTGACCTGACGTCGAGGCCTGGCAGGTCGCATGGTCGCTCGCGACACCTCGCTCACGCGCCTCAAGCGGTGGACGATCGCGCCCGTCTTTCGCCAAGCAGCCGCCGGCGGGGTGCGTCCCCTCTCCCTTCTTCTCTCGTGCGCGCATCTCCTGTACTGAACCTTTGCCCCTGCGCCGCAGCAACCTCGAGCCGTCCTCAACGCCGCGTTCGACATCGTCTCGGACGCCGTCATGCCCGCCATGGAGGCCGAGTGCATCTACGTCGTCGAGGAGATCCTCGAGGCGTTTCCTCTCGGTGGCAAGCCGGCGCACCTCGTCAACCACTCGAAGATCCTCGACGCCATCATCGACATCTTTCCCGCCAAGCAGCGCGAGGCTGTGTGCGAGATCCTCGTCCAACACGGTCGGCTGCAGCGTACCTGGAGCAAGACGTCGTCGGACCTGTTCAAGCTCATCGGCGTCTCGAGGTCTATGTGCGACCTTCTCGGAGCGCTCAACGGTGTCGGTGCGTCCTTGGTCTCGCACACTCTCCCTCGACCGAGTCGAGGACGTTCTCCTGACTCGCTCCCTCTTGCTCGTACTCACAGGTGACCTCGGCAAGATGCGCTCGCTCGTCCTCGCGACAGTACCTCGCCTCAAGCACGTCGTGCAGGAGGGCTTTGACGAGCTGCGCGACATTCTCTCGCTGTGCCAGCACATGGGCGTCAAGAATGTCAAGGTCGCGCCTCTTCTCGCCACCAACCACGACCTGCACCGCAACGGCACCATCTTCGAGTCGCACATGGTGCGGGGCAAGACGCGTGACGTTGTCGCCACCGGCGGGAGGTGCGTCCCCTTCTCTCGCTCCCCTCGTCCCTGAACCTAGACTGACTCACTCGTACGCCTCGCAGGTTCGACGACGTCGTCTCTCGCCTCGCCGCTCCCGAGGTCCGCTTCTCGGGCCGGTGCCCGCACGTCGTCGGCTTTTCGCTCGCCGTCGCCAAGCTCTCGGTCGCCGCCGCCGACGCCAACGCGACGTCGGGCAAGCACGCCATGACCCGCAAGGAGGAGCACCTGCGCTCGTACGGCCCGTGGGCCATCCGCCGGTGCGACGTCTACGTGTGCAGCTTCTCGCCGGGCCTCATCGACCTGCGGCTCGACATCGTCAAGGACCTGTGGCAGGCCGGCCTCAAGGCGGACCTTGTGCGTCCTCCTTCCTCTTCCACCTCCTCGTGCGCCCCACCCTGACCCTCATCTCTCGCCGACGACAGATGTACGACGACGACTTTCTCACGCTCACGCCCGAGCAGCTCGTCAGCGCGTGTCGCCGCGAGGGCATCCTGTGGCTCGTCATCGTCAAGCCGAGCGCGGCAGGTCGGTCCGCCGCCGACGAGTCGGACATGTCGCTCAAGGTCAAAAGCGTCCTGCGAGGTGCCGAGGAGGAAGGTGCGCCTCGCTCTCGCTGCTCGCCCCGAGTCGCGTCGAAAGGGAAGGTCCGTGCACGGCAAGACGAGCGACTGACTCTCCCGTTGCCTCCCAGTTCCTCGCAGCGACCTGTCGACCTGGCTCATTAAGGAGATGCGCGAGCAGACCATCGTCGACGAGGCGGTCGGCGGCGGCAGCAACGACGCCGTCGCCGATTCGTCGACCACGCTCGTCGACCCGCCCAAGCCGACCCGCGAGTACATCCCGCTCCTCGCCGACGACGACGTGCGACAAAAAGGCCGCCACAACAAGCGTACCATGATCGCTCACCGAGGTGCGCTCCTCGCATCTCTCTCTCTCTCTCTCGGTCGAGCAGTCCCTGAACGAGCCTCCTTTTCCGTCCGCAGCCGAGAAGAACATCGAGGAGGCGGCAAAAGCGGCGTCCGAGGCGCCAGTGTGTGCGTCCACCCCTCTCATCTTCTCTCGTGCGCTCGTCCTGACCTTGAAGCCCCGCCGTCGCAGTCGCCATCGATATCGACGGCCTCGCGTTCGAGCGCATGGCCCACTCGCCCGTGTGGGTGACAAAGTGCGTCCTCCTTTCTCTCCCCTCTCGCGACGTCACGCCGGAGCCGGACTGACCCTGAGCTCCCTCTCGCAGCGACGAGGCGTTCAAGGCGCTCCTGCACACGGCGCCACCCGGCAAGCGCGACTACTATGCCTCGATCCGCCAGGCGATCCAGAAGCATCGTCGGCAGAAGGACATCAGCCGGTTCTGGCTCTTTAGCCTGCGCGAGGACCGCTCGGTCCTCATGAGCTTCTTCGACACGAGCTTGGCCTCGTAGACGTCCTCCTCCCTGTCTCGCATCTCTCTATTCCTTTTGTCGAGCTCTCACGAGTGCCCTTGTTGCAATACTAGCCGTGCCCGAGCCAGTTTGCGACTCGTCGCGCGTGTGTCGAAGTGAGCGAGTCGAGCATCGGGTCGTCGCTGCTCGAGCTCCAACCGCCGTGTCGCAGACGCACGAGGCTTAATCGCGAGAGCTGTAGGCTGGCCTCGACGAGGTTCTGCCCTGCCCTCGCAAGCGCCCTCACCAAGCAGCCGAGGTAGCGTTCACGTCCCTCCCCTCGAGCGGTTTGAAACCTATGCGAGATTGGCCCAAAGTCTCGCCAAACAGGAAAGTCAAGCTTTTGGTTCCTATTGCGAGCATTCGACTGCGACGAGCGGCGTGGTGGTGCACGAGCGCTCGGGCCTTTGCTCCGACCGAGCGAACGCACGGATCTTCCGATACACGGACAGGAGCCTTCACTGAGCAGCCCGAGTGCGCTCGAACCATGCCGCGCGCGCGGGCGCGTTCGCCGTTGTGCGTCTGACGCTATCGCCGAACGCCCACGCTCGTCCTCTCCTTCGACCACCCCGCGCAGTTCGAGGTCGACCAGCTTTACCAACTCGCAGATGCCCAGAGCAGCCGCGCTCACCAAGGTCCGTCGCTCTCCATTCCCCCACCGTCGTCGGCGGCCACCCTCGGCGCTCGAGCCCTCGCCCCGTCGTCACCGGCTACGAGCCTGCTCCCCTCGTCGTGACGGTCCTCGTAGAGCCTGCAGCTGACCTCGTTGTGCGCGCAGGAAGCCAAGCTCGCCAACGCCTGGTCGAGCGTCGACAAGGCGCTCGCCGGCACGCCGTGGACGAGCCGCGACGCTTTGCCCCACAAGCTGCCCGTCGGCGCGAGCGAGCCCATGGTCAAGATGCTCGCCACCGCCATCCGCATCGCCAAGGGCCTGGACGAGCACGGCGTCCAGCAGCTCGATCCGCCGCCGTCGGCGGTTCAGGTCGCCGAGCGTTGGACTCGGTTCGCGCGCGACGCCAGCAGGGGCTCTCGCTGTCCAAAGTGGACGTCGACCGACCTCAAGATGGCGCTCGCTCAAGCGAGGAAGGACCAGCGAGCGGGCAACGTGAGCTTCAACCCTGCCGCTCTCTCCCGCCTCTTTCTCGCGTTCCGGTCACTCACGCTGTCGCATTGCGCGCAGGTGGCTCCCGCGCTCGCCAAGACGGACGAGGGGCTCGCCGGCGACATCGCAAGCCTGCAGACGGGCTTCCATTCGCTCCAGCAGGCGGTCGCCCAGCTCGCTGACTCCGTCCGCCTGCTCCCGGACGTCGTCGAGGCGCGCCAGGACGAGGCGCGCTGCAACGAGGCGCGCCGCAAGGAGTACCGCGCGTCGCGTGCGAGCGAGTTTCACTTTAGTCCCGACGTCGACCGCAAGGTGGCCATGTTTGAGCCGCAGGCCGCAGGGCCGTCGAAGTGAGCGTCGAGGAGGAGCGACCCGGCTTCTTTCCCGGGATCTGCATTGCGAGTCTGTCGTTGGCGATTGTGCCGTTGGCGAGTCTGTCGTCGCGAGCCGTGAGAGAGCCGAGAGATGCTCGTTCGAAAGTCCCGCTCGTGCGACGTTGAGTGCGAACCCGGTGAGCGGCTTATGCGAGCAAGCGGTCGGGGCAGTTTCTCGTTGCAGGACCGACGGGGCGCGACCTGCTGAGACGTCCTTTGCGTGAATCGCTCGCGCCCCCTGTCCGCTAGCCTCGGCGTCGCCCCGTGCGAGCAGAGGCGCGCCGACAAGCAGCGACCGGAAGCGACTCTGCGAGGAAGCGTGCTCTCGTGCTTGCGCTGCTCTGGATGCCGCGAACAGCTCACGGTCGTCTCGATACGTCCGGCTGGCGAAAGCGCCCGCTCGACGGCCGTTCTCCCGGCACGACGCACGGACCGCTCCCGAGTTGAGAAGGCCGAGTAGAGCGGGCGGTTGGCGAGGTGCATCGAGGGCGCTGTGGGTGGGAGAGGCTTGGCGTGGTCGAGCTGGGCGTGACTGTGTCGCGAGAGAGACGAGCCCGCGATAGTGCGAGGCAGAGGAAAAGAGCGCTCTTCGTCCTGCCTCGACTTCTCCTCGGGCTCGATTCGGCGGCCGCCAGCTGCGTACGAAGCTTATGTGTACTGCAATTGTCTCCCGCCTTTCAAGCAAACCGGTGTTTTGTCCGAGTGGTCTAAGGAGCCAGCTTCAGGTTGAAATGATCTCGCTGGTCCGAAAGGGCGTGGGTTCGAATCCCACAGACATCATATACTTTTGCCGCGAAACAGCGTAAGTCGAACTCTCCTCTTCGCGTCCGCGGCGGAGCTCTTGTCTTTTTGACGGACTTTGAGCCGGGTTCCTTCGCGGGCTGCTTCCGTTAGGCAATCTCACAGGGCACAGGCGCGCCCACCGTTGACCCAGTACCGTGCTCACGCCTGAGCGAAAGTGCGGCGACGCCGGTCGCGACCCGTCCACCGCGCGCCTCGTTCCCTCGCTCGCCTTCTTCGTGCCGGCGGGTTCAGCTCTCAGCGGCTGGCGTCTCTCAACCGAGCGGACTGCTGCACAGAGAGTGCGACACGCGAGAGACCTACCGCCGCGACCAGGCGCCCACGCGACCCTGTCCAACTTGAGAAGGCCGCCAACGAGAGGTCCGTGCGCGCTCGAAAACAATCTTCCCCTCGCTCTCAAGCCAGTTCTTCGAGTTGGTAGAACACCCGAACTCGTAGAATGCACGCCCAACTCTAGTCTATAAGGAATGCCGCCAAGTCGCCCGCCCGCTCCTCCTCCTCCTCCGCCACCGCGCGCCCACTCACGCCCACTTGCCGAGGAGCGCCATGATGCCAGCGCCGAGTGCAAAGCAGCCGATGCTGAACCAGAGACGTGTCCACGAGCACGTGTGGTAAAACTTGTTGAAGATGAACTCGTGCGCCTGCGAGAAGAGGGACGAGGGTCAAGACCGACCGCTCGAGGACGTGGCGGACCGGGGGGACGCACGATGAGCTCGACGGTCGCCGTGTAGAGGAGGATGCCGCTCGACGTGGCGTCGAGGACGCCCGAAACGACCGACGCCGTGCCGCTCGACATGCTCTGCGAAAAGGAGCCGAGTGAGTCGGACGAACTCGAGCGATCGTACGAGAGAGAAGAGGACGCACGATACCCTCGCGCAGGCCTAGCCCAATCGCCATGCCGATGGGCGTGCAGCTCGAGTACAGGAGGGCGCCGAACCAGGGCAAGAGCGCGTACTTCTTGCCGAGGTGGTCGAGCTTGAGGAACGCGAGGCGAGTCCCGAGACCGAGGCCCTCGAACATCTCTGCGGACGCGGCAACAGGAGCGACAGAGAGTCAGTGACCGCCCACACACACTCAGAGAGGGAGAGAAGGGAACGGACGGTGGAAGACGATGACGATAAAGAGGGTCGTCACCTCGTCGTCGCTCGTGGTGGAGAGCGTAAGCCCAATGAGGACCGAATGGAGGACGACGCCAAACTCTAGCGTCAGAACGCCGATGAGCGACGCCGCGACCGGGTTCTCCTCCATAGCGTCGCGGTAGCTGCCGGCTTCGAGCTCGCTCGACGACCGGCTCAGGTCGTGCTTCTTCTCCAAGTCGTGGCTCGACACCGTCGTCGGGCTCGACTCGACGTCCTGCGGCGACGACGGCGGCGGTACATCGACGTGTCCTCCGTGACCGGCAACGTGGATGTGCGGCGGGACGCCGCCCGTCATCTTCTGCATGCGCTCGGTGCCGAGGCGGAAACAGACGATCTGGACGACGAACGTGCCAAACAGGCTCAGGAGGCACAGGCCGAACGGGTACGGGTACTCGGCCCAGGCGTCCGAGATGCAGCCGCCGGCCGAGCGCGTGTTGCCCTCGCCGAGTGCGTCGGTCGAGGGCTCGAGTAGGTGGATGAGGCCGGTCGCGAGGATGACGCCCGAGCCGAAGAACCTGTCGGGAGGTACGAGAGTGTCAATAGAGTGAACGAGGGAGTGGGCCGAGAGCGAGACGAGGTGCGGGACGAGGAAGAGAGGGCCGGGCGCACTTGGCAAAGTCAAACACGCCGCCGGGCACGATGCGCCTCAGGGCGCCGACGCGCTTCGACAGGATCGGGAACATGGTGCCGACGAGGCTCGTCACCTGCGACGAGCAGAGGGTCAGTGTGGGCCGGCGAGGCGGCGGGGAGGGAGAGAGAGGCGAGGGAGGAGGGACGTACGAGGATGACAAAGATGGCGGCGATGCGGAGCGGGACCTTGCCGACCGACTCGGGGCCACAGGCATCTTCGACGTCGGACATGGTGCGAGGTGAATCGAGTGTCGAGGACGAGAGGAGGAGGAGGAGGAGGAGGAGGAAGAGGGCCGGTGCGGGGTCGAAGCGACGGCGGTACGGCTCGAGGTGGACGACTAGCGCGGCGACAGAGTGAGGAAGAAGGAACCAAGAAGCGAGCTAGAGCTGGCGCGACAATTTTGGGCGCCGCAGAGAGAGAGAAAGAGGGCGGATCGACCGACCACGACGACCGCACCGGTCGTGACTGGGCGACGCTCTGCAGAGTTTCCCGCCTCGTCGTCCCCTTCCTCGAGCGCAGCACGACCCGGCCGAGCGCACCGGATTTGGCGCTCGAGGCACTCGGGTCGAGGGACGAAAGCCGGAGCGGCCGACCGACCTTCTCGGCGCACGCTCTCCTCGAGGCAGAGAAAGCTTTTGAGGGCGCGCACCGAGCTACGTTGCACTCGAGACCCGCGCTCCCGACCGTGCTCGCTCGCTCACTCGAGGCACGCACACGCCGCGAGCCCCCTCGCGAGCGCGGCGCGCACGACCTGCATCTGCTTGGCCGCGCCGTCTGTCCCACCACCGCCGCCGCCGAGTCGCGCGAGGAGGTCGAGCGCGCCAAAGACGTCGGGCGGGCCGAGGAGGTCCTCGGTGACGCGCAGGAGCTCGTAAATGGCGTCCGAGTCGAGGAGGGGAGGCGTGGCTGCGGGCGGCGGGGTGCATGCGTGCGTGCCGGGGGTCAGTGCGCCGGTCTCGGGACGAGAGAGATACAGAAAGGGACGAGGACGCACCCTCGAGCAAAGGGACAGAGTCGAGGAGCATGACGGCCCAGAAGCGTTTGGGCGCGACGCCGCTCGTGAGGAGGAGGACGAGGAGCTGGGCCGCCTCGAGGTGGGCGCCGCTCGCGTACAGGGCGAAAAAGTCGCGGTACCGCGCGAGGAACGTGAGGCGGGCCGTGTAGGGGGCGAGGGCGGCAGAGGGAGAGAGGGCGGGGAGGTCGGAGGGGGACGAGGGTGAGGGAGGAGCGGACGAGGGAGGGCGCAGGAGCGAGGTCGGGATCGAGTCGACGTGGGCGATAAAGGCGTCTTGACCTGCGGGTTGGTCGACACCGTCAGTCCACCGTACGGAAAGGAGAGAGAGAGAGAGAGAGAGGCGAGAGCGGGGGCGCACCCTTCTCGATGTACTCGTCCAAGATCCGGTCGGCAATCTCGGCAATCCTCCTCCCGTCGGCCGCCCTCACGGCGTACGCGACCGCCTCGCCGAACCGCCGCTTGTCGACGAGCTTCGCCGCATACGCCTCGCACGTCGCCGTGAACTCGTCCGTGAGGTCGAGCGCGGCGAGGACGGCGAGGAGCTCGTCGACCTGGCGCGAGGCCCGCTTCTTCTTGGGCGCCGCGTTCTCCTTCTCGGCGCCGACGCCCTCGCCCTCGCCCTCCCCCTCTCCCTCGACGTCCATGCCGTCGCCTGCCCCTGCTGCCCCTGCCCCTGCTCGTGCCCCCGCACCCTGCTGCGCCCCCTCGCCCTCGACCTCGAGCGGCAGCGCGACGGCGAGCGCGCGCACCTTTTCCCTCCCCTGCGTGCCACACGCCGCCCAGTACTCGCAGCTGACGCGCCACAGCCCTGGGTCGGCCGTGCAGCGGTCGCCCCAGTCGAGGAGGAACGCCTCGCGCAGCCCGAGCGCGTCGTCGTCCTCGCCGGCGCCGGTGAGCGCGGGCGGGTCGAACGCGGGGAGGTGCAGGTGCGCGAGGAGGTCGCCGAGGTGAGCCGCGGCCCAGGCGTGGGCGCCCGTGAGCGCCTTGAGGACGCCGGGGACGTCGCCGCGGAGGAGGGCGGCGTGGGCGCGCTCGGCGGGGAGCGACGCGTCGACGGGCTGGGTGCGCGTCAGGGCGTCGACGAGTGGCGGGAGGTCGGCGCGGCGGAGAGTGGTCGGCGAGGCCCACAGGCAGTGCGCCGCGAGGCTCTCGCGCCAGTCCTCGGGGCCGAGGGCGGCGATGGCCGATTCAGCGGCCGACGACGACGACGACGAGGACGGGTCGCTGGCAGCCGACGACACGAGGGCGACGAGCGGCGCGAGCGACGAGCCCCAGTCGTCGGACGACGACGACAGGAGCGAGTCGACCTGGGGCTTGAGGGGCGCGAGCGTCTGGGTGCGCCACTGGCGCAGGGCGACGACAAAGGCCGACTCGGTGCGGAACGCGGTCGAGCGCGGGTACGACGCGACGAGGGTCGACAGGTGTTTGGCGAGGTGCTGAAGCGTCTCGTCCGGGTGCTGCGACTCGACGAGCGACAGGAGGGCGGCGGCCGACGACAGGTGGCCGCGCAGGACGCAGCGCGACAGGTACGGCACAAAGTCGTCCGAGTCCCACGGCGACGCGAGGGCGAGGAGCTCGGCGCCCTCGTCGTTGGACGGAGCCGGGTCGATCGTGTTGACCCAGTCGAGGAGCTCCTCGGCGACGAGCCCTTCGCCGACGCCGTCCGAGGGGAAGAAGAGGATCTCGGCGAGGGCGAGGACGCCGTGCATGGCGGCAAAGTGGGCGAGCGCCTTGTGCTTGCCCGCCGGCGTGTAGTCGGTGTCGCTCTGTGCGCAGAGGTGGGGTCAGGTCGGGGTACGAGGAGGGAGGGAGGGAGGGAGAGAGAGGCGGCGCACCTGGATCAGGGGCAGCTGTTGGACGATGGCCTCGCGGTAGAGGCGCGACACGCGGCCATAGTACTGGACCTGGTCTGGCGTGGGGACGGGAGCGCCACCTGGGCCGTAGACGTCGTCCTGGTCGGCGTTGTTCTGCTGCACGATGCGCTGTGGACCGGGGGGAGCGAGTGAGCTGATGAGGGCTCGAGGCGGGGAGGGGCGAAAGGGGGAGCGCACCTGGAGGGACGCCCAGATGGTGTAGGTGTCGGTGATGAACGTGCGCGACTCCTTGAGCGGCGGCTGGTGCGGGCGGTCGTGGTTGTTGAGCGGGGTGGACGTCGACGACGAGGCGGTGGGCGCGCCAAACGAGAACGAGGCCGAAGGGGCCATGGGGTGCAGTGGCTCGTTCGAGGTGCTTGCGCTCTGAGCAGCTCACTCACTCGCGAGGCTGAGCAGGGACGACGAGATGAACGAGCGAGCCGACCCTCTCTTCCTGCTCTCGATGCGACCTGACAGCTCCCACTCTGCCCGCCATACCGCTAGAGCACCGCCAACTCGAGCTCCAACTTGCCTGCACGCGCCCCGATGCCTCCCGCACCGGTGCGCCCTCTCTCCCTCTCCTCCTCCTCCTCGAGCCCTCGTCGGCTCACCCAACTTGCATCTCGTCGGCGGCGCCCCCACCAGGGCCTCACCTTCAAGGGCCCCGCCCACCCCAAACGCACGAGCAAGCCCGTCGTCCTGCTCGACCCCGTCGTCCCGCGAGGTGCGACCAAGAAGCGCCGCCCCAGCTCCAGCCGCGACGACTCGCCCCGACGCTCGCCCGACAAGGCGGCTCGACGCGCGACCGCCCGCGAGGACGGCGGCGACGAGGACGAGGCGTCGGCCAAGGAGAAGCACAAGGGCAAGACCGCCGAGGCCAAGGGCGACAACAAGGCGCCGACCAAGCGGGTCAAGGCGGCTCCAGTCGAGCAGGACGACAACGACGACAGCGGTGCGTCCCTACTCTCTCCAACTCTTCACCCGGCCATGACTGACGTCCCTCACGAAACCCGCAGGGCCGCACGTCCCGCAGGAGGAGCGCGTCTCGCGCGACACGGTCGCCAAGCGGTGGCACCTCGTCTCGACCTCGACCCGCGCCGAGCTGCTCGAGCGCGCCCGATCTGCCACAGAGTGCGTGTGCGACGTGCCTTCTTCTCTCCTTTGCCCGATCACGCGAGGGACGAGGGCACTGACTCTTGTCGTCCTCGGTGCCGGCGCGCAGGGACGTCCTCGAGGAGGTGTTTGCCGACCAGGCGGGGCACAAGTCGGCGCACGTGGCGCGCAAGGCTCTCAAGGCGTTCACCAACGAGTGCGTCTCTCTCTCTCCTCCTTGTCCCTCAACCCATCGGGCCCTGCGCTCGTCCCGATCGTGCAGCGAGCCGCACGCTCACCCACGTTCCTCGCTCGCGCAGGTTCGACGCCGCCCTCGCCAGCAGCGCCGTCCCGCCGCTGCCGAGCAATGTGCCGCAAACTCTCAAGGGCAAGGGCAAGGACAAGGGCGACACGGTCGACCTCTGCAAGGTGCTCGACGAGAAACTGCTGCACAATCACCTAGCACGTCCCTCGTCCTGCCTCTCTCTTGTGGGCCACCGACAGGGCCGCAGGCTGACAGCGGCCCTCTCATCGCGCAGAAATCCATGCAGGACAAGCTCGATGCAGCAGAAGGCGACGCCGACGACCTCGACCTCGAGATCGAGAAGGAGCGTAGGTGCGTCCCTCGTCCTCTTGTCCTATCGAGGCCGACCCGGTCGCGCCCGTAGCTGACTCGATGTTCGTCCATTGCTCGTGCGTGCCCCAGGCTCCTCAAGCGCGACAAGGCGCGCCTCGCTCACTCGAGCTAGACGGCCCCGCCTCGTCCTCTTTGTCCGACTGCCTCGCCGTGCCCGCCGACCAGCTCCCGACAGCCCCGGGCGCCGGCAGCGACTCGCAGGTCGTCGTCGACATCGACTTCCGACACCCTGCGGCGGCGCCGCCGACCGCTCGCCCCTACCCTGCCCAAGCCGCCTCGTCGTCGTCCTTTCCCCCTCCCTCCCGCCCGCCCGCCGCTCCTCCTCACCTCTCCCCCCAGCCCCAGCGCCCACAAGCCGCCGTACCCGCACACCTCCCCCCTTCCGACCTCGAGCGGCGCCGCAGCACCTCGTGCGGCATCGTCGCCGCCGGCGGGCTCGACTCTCGTTCAAAGGTCATCGAGCGCGCGAGCTGGACCAGCAGCTGAGAGCGGGCACTTTTCTGCAGCGGGCCGAGCTTCAGCCGTACTCTCACGAAATATCGAGTTCAGGTCCGTGTCGGACGCGCGAGGGAGCCGCGAGAGAAAGAGAGAAAGACGCTCGCTCGCTCGCTCGGACGGCCGGCTCGTGTGCGTCCCTCTCGCTCATTCTCTCTCCTTGTCGCGAGCAAGCGCAGTACGCTCGTCTCTCGTCTCCTGTTCATGCTTCGAGAGTCCATGAGAGCTCCTCAGTGATGGACTGCACGTCTACGGCATCGAGCGCGCCTCCTCTCCCCTCCCCTCCCCTCCTCTCGCCACGCTCCCCGCTCGCCCACGCTGCCTCACGTCCACTTGCCGAGGAGCGCCATGATGCCCGCGCCGAACGCGAACGACCCGAGGCAGAACCACAGGCGGGTCCAGGAGCATGTGTGGTAGTAGCTGCGGGCGGTCCCAGGGCGAGGGCGCGGGCGCGGGCGCGGGCGAGATGGTCGAGGAGGGGCACGAAGGAGGGGAGCGAGGAAGTCAGGGACGTCGGGACGTGCGACGAGGGAGTAGAGAGAGGGAAGCACGGGTTGAGGACGATCTCGTGTGCCTGCAGCGTGAGGAAAAAGGGAGAGCGTCAATGCGCCGCTCAACTTGGGAAGGTCGACCCCTCTCTTCGCGCCCCGCGGGAGAGAGAGAGAGAGAGCACCGGCGACGCACGATGAGCTCGACCGTCGCCATATACAGGAGGATGCCGCTCGAGATAGCGTCGAGGATGCCAGCCGCGACCGAGCCCGTCCCGTTCGACATGCTCTGCGCGCGCGCGCGCCCCTCCTCTCGTCAGTCCCTCGTGCTGGCGCCCGCCGTCCTCGACTCGAGAGAGAGAGACAGAGGGACGCACGACGCCCTCGCGCACCCCGAGCCCAATCGCGGTCCCGAGAGGCGTGCACAGCGAAAACACGAGCGCGCCGACCCAGGGCAGCCAGGCGTACGTGTCGCTCACGTCGAGCAGGGCGAGGCGGGTCCCGAGGCCGAGGCCTTCGAACATCTCTGTCGGGCGGGCGCGGGCGCGGGAAAGGGGAGCGTGAGAGGCGGCGAGAGGGAGGGAGGGAGAGGGAGCGAGGGAGGGAGAAGAGGGGGACGCACGGTGGAAGACGATGACGATGACGAGCGTGCCGAGACCCTCGTCGCTCGTGCCCGAGAGCGTAAGTCCAATGATGACCTGAATGCGTCGCTCTGAGAGAGTCAGGCAGGTCCGAAAGGGAGGGAGGGAGAGGGAGGGGGGAACCCGAGGCGAGATCAGACGCACCGAGTGAAGCACGACGCCAAACTCTAGCGTAATTGCGCTCATGAGCTGCGCCACGACCGGGTTATCCTCGAGCGGGTCGGCCAGGCCCTGGGTCGCCGCCGTCGTCGTCGACTCGCGTCCGACAGCCGATGGCGCCGGGACGGCCGGTCCGTGCGCCTTCTCCGGGTCGGCGCTCGACGCGTTGGCCTCGAGCTCAGGGAGCAGTACCGTCGCGCCGTCTCGTGGCAGGTGCACGTGCGTCACGGCCCCGCGCCCTTCCTCGCCCTCTTCCTCCCCCTTCCTCGCCCTCTTCCTCCCGACCGCCCTCCCAACCCTCTCGCTCCCCATCCTCAGGAAAACCATCTGGCTGACGAACGTCGCGTACAGGCTGACGAGGCACAGCGCGAACGCGTACGGGTAGTCGGCCCACGCGTCCGAGATGCAGCCGCCGGCCGAGAGCGTGTAGGACGCGCCGAGGGCCTCGGTGGCGGGTTGCAGGAGGTGGATGAAGCCGGTGGCGAGGATGACGCCCGAGCCGAAGAACCTGTGGGCGTGGGAGAGGGGTGGTGAGGGTCAGGTGGGTCGACAAGAAAGGGAGGGAGAGAGGGTGTCGTCTAGGGCGGGAAGGTCGTCGAGGGAGGGAGGGTTGTCGACGGAGGGAAGGTCGTCGAGGGAGAGAGGGAGCGAGGGAGAGAGGGAGAGAGAGATGGACGCACTTGGCAAAGTCAAACACGAACCCGGGCACAGTGCGCTCGAGGGCCTTGACGCGCTTGGCGAGGATCGGGAACAGCGTCCCGGCGAGCGACGTGACCTGCTCGGTACCGCGGCGGCCGGGACGGGCGGGTGTGGTGCGTGTGCGTGTGCGCGTGAGTGCCCCGGGGAGGGGAGGAGAAGGAAGAGGACCGAGGGAACGCACGAGGATGGCAAAGATGGACCCGATGCGCAGGCCGAGCCGACCGGTCGAGACGGCGCCGCAAGGGTCGGGCGCGTCGTCTACGGGCAGGGCGTCCGACATGCTGGGCTGAGGGTGGGTGGTGCGGGGCGACGGTGAGGGGCGCGAGAGGGTGAGGGCGAGGGGAGGGTCCGAGTGGTGCGGCGGTCGGTGCGCGAGGTTGATCGAGGGCGGGCTGGACGGTCAGGCGAGTCTGAGCGGCGAGAAGCAGAGGACGAGAGAGGGAGAGAGAAGCGCGGGCCCGAGTCGCAGCAGAGAGAGAGAGAGCAAGAGACAGCGAGAGAGAAAGGCCCGGTCGCGCCTCCGGCTCGAGCGAGCGAGCGCGCGGGATCCACGCTTCGCCCGCCCGCCTCCCCCCTCGCCGCCATCCACCCTATCGACAAGCGCCGAAAAGACAGGCTCGAAGCGGGCGGTGGAGCCGAGAGGAGGCGCGCCGCACGAAAGAGGGAGCGCGGGACGAGCGCCGGCGCCGAGCGAGGCAGGCAGGTGGCCGGGCGACCGACGGCCCGCGAGCGAGCGTGGACGATCGGAGCGCGGTGCGGAGCGCGGGAGAGCGTGGGGTCGAGCGGGCTGCAGGGAGAGAGAGACAGAGAGAGGGTGGGAGCGAGGGGTCAGTGCGGGTGAGAGGGTGAGAGCAGGGAGGAGGGAGGAGGGAGGAGAGAGGGAGAGGGGGACGCACGCGAGGGGGGCCCACGGCGGCGGCGAGCGAGATCTCGGAGCGGCACGGCTGTGCGCGCGCGAGAGAGAAATAGCCGAGGCTGCGAGAGGAGCGGGGCGCTCGCGCGCAGTCGGCGTCCCTCGCCTCCCTCTCGCCCGCCGCCGCCTCGCGCCCCGCCTCCCCGACGCACTCGCACTCGCACTCGCACTTGAGCGAGAAAGAGGCGGAGAGACTGGACGGAGGAACTCGAGAGGGTCGGATTGCGATTCGTACGAAAGAGGGGGTGACGGGGGAGGGGGGATGGCTACG